GGCCATGCTGAGGAAGCGTCCCACATACAGCAACTAGAAGGATGTGCAACTATGACATACAACTATCTACTGGGGCTTGGGGGGAAAAAGAGGAAGAGGATTGGCGATAGATGTTAGCTCAGAGCTGGTCTTCCTCAGCAAAAAGAGAAGGATTACCATGGATGTTAGCTCAGGGCTGATCTTCCTCACACACACAGACAAAAAATCATGGATGCAGCTAAAGCCAAACCTACAGGGAAATCCACAGCAATAAATGCTTCTATTAGCAAAGAAGAAAGGTCTCAAATCAGTAATTTAGACTTCCACCTTAAGGAATTAGAGAAAGAAGAAAGAGCAAATTAAACCCAAAGCAAGAAGAAATAAGAAAATTAATAATGATAAAGGTAGAAATAAATGAAAGAGAAAACAGAGAAATACAAAGAAAAATCAATGAAACCAAAAGCTGGTCCTCTGAAAAGATCAAATAAATTGATAAATCTCTGGCTAGCCAGTCCAGGAAACAAAAAAGAGAAGATACAAATTACCAGAATCAGGAATGAGAAGGCAGCTGATACCCAATGCCAAGTTGCGAGAAATTAAAGACCCAAATTTTGTAAGACCTAAATTTATTCCCTAAATAAATGAAGAGATAAGCCATGCTCATGGGTCAAAAGACTCAATATTGTTAAGATGTCAGTTCTCCCCAATGGATCTACAGATTCAATGCAATGCTGACCCAAATCCCAGCAGGCTCTTTAATAAAAACTGACAAGCTGATTCAAAATTTTACATAGAAAGGCAAAGGAAATAGCATAGCCAAAACAATTCTGAAAAAGAATAACAAAGTTTAAAGACCTGATTTCAAGATTCAGTATAAATCTACAATAGTCAAGACAGTGTAGTATTCGAGTAAGGACAGATGTAGATTAATGGAACATACCACAATCCATAAATAGAAACACACATATATGTGTCAATTTTCAACAAAAGTGCCAAGACAATTCAATGGAGAAAGAATAGTCTGCTCCATAAATGGTCCTGGAACAACTGGATATTCACATATGCACGCAAAAAAAGAACTTTTACCTTTACCTCACACCATACACAAAAAGAGCACAGACAGTATCTAATGCTGAAGCTGAAAGAGAAAGCAGACTGTTTCAGGAGCAGACGGGGCACATAATGGTTAGATATGCCAGACTGTTTGGGGTTTGGCAAATTCAGTGAAAAGGGCACTTACAATGTACTTTCAGTGTTTTATTGATGAAACAAAATGGAAGGTGACATGAATGCCAATACAATTATTTGAAGTTATTTTACATTCATGTAGCCACCTGACTCTGTAATATGTTTAAATTACCCATTAGAAAACAAATGAAACCAGCAAATGGAGAAATTAAATGTTCAGAACCTAAACATCTGGCCAACCAAAAAACCATATACACAACCATATACAGAGCCATATACACAAAATAACAGTATGGTAAGAGCCTTCAAAATTATCCCAATTCAACCATATCATTTCAGAGACGAGGAAAAAGAAGTTCAGGAGGCTATAACTTGCTTTTAAAAAAATTACATGCATAGGCAAGAACCAAGGTATCTTCACTGATTTTAAGGTACACAGAGATTAGATAACTTTCTTCCATTCTTAGAAAAAATAATTATGCTTGGGACCTGTTTTCCTTTTCCGGGTTTTGACATCGACGATCACAGCCCTGTTCTTCTCAGTAAAGTGCTTCAAGATGATCACATTATGTGGTTCATTGGCATTATCCATATAAACACAGCGAGTCCCCACACAGAGGACCTAGAACATGACAGACACAGACAGAAAAGGTAATTCAATAGCACATCAAGATGGGAAAGAGCGCTTAATTAGACACAAGCCCAGTCCCTTTTGCTTGTGCCCCAGACTTCAACAAGCACTCAAGGATAGGGTTCTTCTTATCTCTAAGTCCAGGGCCTGGCACAGGCCTGGCACAGAACGGGTTTATGTGCTTGCTGGATGAAGCCATGTTTTCACAGTCCTCTTTGTCCCAATCAGTTGAAAGACATGAAGATTAGAAATGAGATCAAGATGAACGCCAAAGTGAAAAAAAACTGTACTATAAAGTTCTTTGTAATTTACTACAGTTACCTATTATTCAAAGCCAACTCTTAGCTAATAAGATGAATCAAATGGCTAAATTGTTAAAAATGCAAGTTGAACAAACCATCCCATAATCTTGAAAATATACCAATACTGTAAGAGCAAATTATATAACTAAAGAAAATAAACTTCCAAAGATATATGCTATAGAGACTTTGATGTGTGTGATGAAGATCGGAGAAAGTGGCCAGGCCTTCACTGATGTACCTGGGGGAAGCCGACCAGCACGAGCAGGGTGAAGATGTTGGTATGCTTCAGCTGGAAAGGCAGCTGCTTGACGCAGTGGTCTGTGAAGGTGGCAACGACGTCACGCCACAGCGGGGCACTGTTGAGTGACCGCAGTATCTCCGCCATGGAGCACGCCCAGTCCAAGCCCACTCGGCTGGAAGGCAAGAACTCCATTAGGTGGCTGTGCACAGGCTCCAAACTCAACTCATCAGAGCTCACTACACTCCCAAGGCAGACCCAGAGGTATGCCAAAGAGCCATTCGTTAATTATCTTAAAAACCACTGGAATGATGCTTTTCATATAACGGCAAGTGGAAAAAAAATCAAGATGTTACTTAAATACTCAGTCTACAACTATATTTTTAACAATATATACAAAAAGTCACATGTGTGTGAGCACATGCACACTTACATTCACATACAGAAAAAAGCTTGGAAGGAAGTATATTAAAATAGCACCAGATGCATTAATATAGTGCAAGCCAGGGTGATTTTTTTCTTCATTTCTGTTTTCCAAATTTGGTATTATGATTATGTCACTTTTATAATGAAAATAGATCTATTTTCTTCAATCCCAAGGCCTACACTTACTGCTTTCAGGAAACAAACAAACCAAAACATATATCATCAGACAGTGCCCAGATTGCACAACTGTTTAAGTGAGGGTTTTAAGCACAGTTTTAATGTTGGTTGCCAGCACTGCTAATAAAACTAATTCTGTTCTCACAAAAGATTCCCAGACAACAGCACTAAAATTAATCAACAGTCAGACTTTTGACTTAAAGAAATGAGCAACAAGGTGGGGTAGAGTTGGGTGGCTACCTGTCCAGACACACAGCTCCCAGGCTAAAGAGCAGGTGAGTGGTCTTCCAGCCATCTGGCACGATGGAACTGTCCCCTGCCGCAAACAGGTTATGTTTAGCTGACAGGACCTTGATCACTGCAGCATCTACCTCTGCTGGTAAAAGGCGGACGATTAACTGGCCGAGAAGACCCAGGGTGAGGTGGTAGGTTTCATTCAGATGGCCTGCGTTTGAGATGACAACCTGAAACATGAGCGGGAGGACATGCTCCAGGTCTACCAGGGGGACTGTGGGATCCTGCCAAGAGAAGGAGAGAAATCTGTTCAATACCAAATCCATGTACCACACCAGCTAAACACTCCATCCTCTTCATGTATAATTTATAACTGGCCTAGTCCAAAGAAATTACACAGTGGCTTTCATAAAAGGCTTATGTACAATCAGTTGTAAAATAAATATTCTCAGGTATCATCTTACAAGCCTACTTCTAATTTTCCTTCACCACGAAAAATAAACTCAATTTTTTCTCCTGACATGTCTATTATAAAAGAATTCAAATAATTCAGAAATATACAAAAGGTAAAGCTCCCCGTAATCCACTTCCCCCCAAGACCCAGGAGATAACAATTGTTAACAGTTTGATGAACAGTCTTTCAACCTTTTTCTACGCATATTTACATACATAATAAAATAAATTTAAAACTAACAATAAATTTATTTTTCTTTCTTTAAATACTGTCCTGCAACTTACTTTTTTCCATTAATATGCCATTTCCCAAACCAATAAAAACAGAGCTCCTCAATCATCTGAATGGCTGCACACTATTGCATTTCATAGTTAAAACATAACTGACTTAATGGCTTCCCTATTGCTGGACACTTCCTTTGTTTCTAATTCTTCATTATTAAAAACACCATCTAGATAAACAGCCTGGTACACACATCTCTATACACTTATACCACTCATTATGTTCTATAAGAAAGAAATGCACAAATCTGGAGAGAACATTAAAAAATTTTGAGTTACCTCATTGTCATTCCAGAGGGCACTAAATCTATAATATGAAAACAAAGCAATCAAAGAACAAAAAGTTTTTGAAAATCAAAAACGATTCTCAAGAAGGAATCCCCCTGAAGGGGCAGCCTAGCACGGGATGTCAGAGTCCAAGAAGAACGAGGAAGACGTCCGTGCAGGGGGCTCGTCCTGTGTGGGGTGTGAGAACCCGAGCAGGGTGAGAAGTGCTTCCATGGAGAGGGGCGGCCTGGCAGGGGTGTCAGCACGAGCGGGGTGAGGAAGGCATCCATGCAGGGGAATGGTCAGCCATGGGAGTCAAGCTTGAACTCTGAAGGGGGTGAGGAGGGCATCCATGTGGAAGGGCAGCCTGACGCGGGGTGTTGGAGCCCAGGCAGTGAGGCGAGGGCATCCAGGTAGAGAGCTCAGTCCAGCATGGGGAATCAGAGTTCTAGCAGCACAAGGAGAGTGCTGCCATGGAGTAGCAGCCTGCTGTGGGTGAGGGTGGGCTCAATGCAAGGGGGACACTTGACATAGGGAGATACACCCAGGTGTGGTGAGGAGGCATCCAAGTGGGGGCAGACCCAACGAACAGTGTCAAGAGTCCACACAGGGAGAGGAGGGCACCCACAGAAGAAAAAGAACGGTGGCAGAGATGGAAGACTGATCAAATAAGTAATAATGTTAAGGATAATGGGCTCCAGGTTTCTCACTGTTAAAGACAGGAGTTATAAATACAAAAAAGGAGAAAACTAGAATCAGCCTGTGGTTTTAGATGGAAATTGGAGGGATTGATATGAACTCACGATTTACTCACTTTTTTCTTTCTTTCTCTCTAAATCAGGGTTTCTCAACCTTGGCACTATTGACATTTGGTTCTGATAATTCTTGTATGTATGTGCGAGGGTGAGGGATTCAGGTGGGGGTGGTGCCCGAGCATTTTAAGATGTTTAGCGGGACCCTTGGCTTATACACACTAGATGCCAGTAGTATACCCCCAGCTGTGACAACTAAAAATGTCTCCAGACGTTGCCAAATGTGCCCTTGGGGGGAGGAGAGGGAGTCTCCAGTTTGAGAACCACTGCTCTAAATATAGAAAAACATAGAAAGGTAAAGTATACACGCTGTCTTGACATGAGTACAGCCATGTTTGGCCGCTCCATTGACCTATAGCCACCAGCACACAAAGAAATACAAAGCTGCTTTCTGTGTGGTGGGAACTGGCCTTTTCTCGGGAACTGGCCTTTCTCCCATGGGGGGAGTTGCAAGTTGTAACAGTTCAAGGCTCTTGGAGCGTCGTAGCACGGGATGGACTGGCCATCTGTGCCGGGCTAAGACGATAACCAAAGAAAACAATGCACGTACACAACCACTGGGCTGGGACGTTAGCCAAGGGGCTCAGTGCACGTATGCCACTGATAACTGTTTTGTGCATGGGAACACTAGATGCTTGCTCTGTAAACTCTGTAACTGCTTATATAAACTGCTGGAAGCTGAGACCTGGTGAGAGTTCCACCTGTGGAAGGGACGCCTTGCCCAGGATGTGTGATCCTTGCCCAGCCGTGTCGATTGACAGGACTCTCCCGGCAGTGGGGCGTGGATGTTGTGAGTAATTGATTTACTGTGAAGTAACTGATTTGATGTGTTCTCTTTTCAGTCAACCTGGTGTTTCTCTTTCCGGTTGATTTGTGTCATTTCCCTTCAGTCGATCTGGTGTTTCCCTTTCCGACCGATCTGATGTTTTTCCCTCTTATTATATGACCTATTCGGATCTGCTGCTATCTCAGCCGATGTGGATGTTTTCCCTTTCCAGTCGAGTTGGTGTTTTTTCCCTCTTATTATTTGACCTATTGGGATCTGTTTGCGGACTATCGCCTTTACTATCCTCTATATAATAAAATATACCTTCAGTCCATTTGTTTGGAGTGGAAAGTGTCTTTTACATCTCTGATCGAATCCCCGAACCTCTCATAACACACGCACAGACGCACACACACCCTAGCTCTGTCCACTGAGAAGGCCTGGGAGCCGTGACACACTGTTGCAATGAACCTATCTAGTGCCCAAACCTCAGTTTCTAAATACGGTTCTCTACTGAAAGGAACAAGTTCACCTTCGAGAAATGGCTGATTCCAGGCCTAGGGAAGGGAGAATTCAAGAAGTGCCTGAAATATCTTGTGCCAGAAAACAGGAAATGTTCAAAAAACGATGGGAGTATGTCAAAAGGACACAGAAGACAGCCTGAATGGGCTCTCATTGGCCAAGTCCAGGTCAATTTAAGCATCAAAATGAGAAGAATAATGGACTATAACTGATGAATAAAATAGGAAGTCGTGTACCCATACTGATATAACTAAATAAATGAATAAATTGTTGTTTGATGAGAAACAGGATATTTATATAGCTTCAAAGACTCTCCCCACTAAATATTTACTAATAACAAAGGGGAAAAAATTAACTTTACAGTGGAGAAGGCTGGCTGACACCACTTAAGTGATCAAAGGGAACACGATCAGTAATGAAATAAATCAAAATTGTGTTCTACCTGCTGGCTACAAAGAGAATGCAGCATTACGACTGTGATATTCCTGCCAAAGAGGCAAAACCTGAATCTAATCATGAGGATACACCTGACAAACCCAAAGAGAAGGACATTTTACAAAACAGCTGGCCTATAACCTTCAAAAGTGTCAAGGTCATGAAAGTTAAGAAAATGCTGATAAACTGCTTAAGACTAAAGGAGACTAAAGAGACATGACAACAAAATGCTACACATTAATTCTGATCCTCTTGCTACCAAAGATATTTTTTGAGCACTCTGGGAGTGTAAATTGGTACAACTTTTGTGTGGCAGGCCAAGCTTGGCCTCATTCATATGTTTACTTGAAGACACGTACAGGCATGTTCGTAGCACCATATGGAATAGCTCCAAACAGGAAATTTCCCAAATGCCCAACAATCGTTAAAATGAATTTTAAAATTATGCTATATTCACACAATGGAATTCTGGATAATACTGAGAATGAATAAGTGAAACTATTCACAGCAACATGATGCATCTCACAAACATAACATTGAGTGAAAGCAACTAGACACAAAAGGAGTACATAGTGACCTACTCCATCTATACGAAGTTTAAAAACAGGCAAAACTAATCTATGGTGATAGAAGTCTTTTTATTATTGGCTTGTAAGAGTTCTCTATGGCTTGCAAGAGTTCTTTATATATTCTAGATACAAGTCCATCTAGTTACTTTTTACACTAAAATAAATCTAATAACTTGCCTTCCAAAGAGCATGTTAAAAAACAAAAGATTATCAGGGTAAACAAACCACCCTAACAGAGGGACCAAGAAGAGAAGAGACACTGCTAAAATTAAAGTGGTGATTTAAGAAATCTACTTAAGGAATTCTCTAAGAACAACAGATAAAGATGAAAAGTCTGACCAAACGGAAGCCCAGATGGAGGGCCGATCTAGGAGAATCACTATGCATTCAAGAAGATGCAAATGGGGTGGGTAAAGAAGCAAACAAATAACAGAAGAGCATTTCCTCGGCTGAAGTAAAAATTGAGTTTTTATCAAAAAAGCAAACAGGATGAAGGGAAGGAACAGAGAAAGAGAACTTATATTTTGACACAGTCTGATGAATGTCTGAATTCTAAGGATAAAGAAAACACTTTTAGATAAAAAAAAAACCATCTTAATATTGGACTTCTTGGGGCAGGCCCGGTGGTGCAAGCAGTTAAGTGCACGCACTCCACTTTGGCGGCCCGAGGGTCACAGGTTCGGATTCCGGGCGTGCACCAACGCACTGCTTGTCAAAGCCATGCTGTGGCAGCGTCCCATATAAAGTGGAGGAAGGTGGGCACGGATGTTAGCTCAGGGCCAACCTTCCTCTGCAAAAAAAAAAAAAAAAAAAAAAGAGGATTGGCATTGGATGTTAGCTCAGGGCTGATCTTCCTCACAAAAATATTGGACTTCTTATATCATCTTAATATTGGACTTCTCATCAGTAACTCTAGATAGCAGAAGACCATGAAGCAACATTAACAGAGTTCTGAAGGAAAAGGACCGTGTCCCTGTAATTCTGTACCCAAACTATCTCCATGGGTGAGAGGAAAAGAAAGACATGCAGCCTTTCTGAAGAAAATATTTGAGGAAGTATTCCAGCAAAACAAAAAAAGGATTAGAATAAGTAATTCAAGAGGAAAACAGTAATCAATAAACAATAATGTGCAATCAAAACAGTAACCATCAATAACAAATTACAATGTGGTTCTGAAATTCTAAAGAAAGTAATTTTAAGAGAGGCAAAATCTAAACAACACAACAAAAAAACACCCAAACCAACCAGCCAACCAAACCATCTGGAGCTAAAATTACAGATAATCTGAACACTTAGGGTACGATGAGGGAAATAAAAGTGTGCTAAAGGTCTCATCTTGTTTGGAAGAAAAGGTAAAAGATTAGATTGTTAGTTGAGAGAGAAATACGGATTGAAATAAGTAGACAAAATTTAACTACAACCACAACTAGATAAGAAAAATGATCAGACTTCATGAACCATTAAAAAAAAGAAAAGAACTTGGGAAAAATGTGTATGGGAGCAAGGCTGGGTTGGGCAGTGGGGAGAACCATAGTTGACTGGCACAGAGCAGTTAACCAGCTCATCTCAGGAGAAGTAAGCTAACTGACCATAACACAAATGGTTATAACAAAGTGAGACCAAGTTAGGAAAAGGTCACTCTTATAGTGAAACTGGTAAAATCGACATAAAAAGGATAAGAGTAGCTAATTGCAGAAGGGCTCCAACTTAAGAGATGGTTTCTCAATGTGCTTACCCAGTAAGATGCAGAAAAGTTTAGTGTTGGAGTGGGAAGGGAAAGGCCAAGATGGTGACTGCTCTGTCCAAGCCTGTGGGTGCTGATTTCAGAGGCACAATAACAGCTACCCAGACAGATCTGCTGCTGAGTGAGGTCAATTCATCCAGCTTCATGGAAATGCATCTTCAAAATACCTTATTCTCTCATTCTAATTCCACACACACCAGACAACCTCCTGAGCTACAATGTGGTCTTCTGGATGGATTTACACACCAAGAGGGAACGCATATTCATTTTCCTGCCAGACACATACCCCTGTGAATTGTGACCGATTTATAAATCAGTCTAGACTCCCGTGTAAGAGTTAATTCCTCTGAGTTTAAGCATCTCTGGGCAAACTGCTAAAAAAAAGTCCTTGGACCCAGAGACCTGAGGAACAAACACTGGGTCCTGGGGACACCTCTCCTTCCTCAAAGCCCTGCCAACTTGGGAAATCCTATTTCAGCAGCTGCTAGTTCTGTCTTTGATTACTCTCCATTTACTGAAAAAATAGGAGACTATTCGAAAGATGTCAGCTACTCCTAAATTAATATATAAATTCAACACCAGCCCAGTGAAAATACTAACAAGATCTTCTCTTTAACTTGATAAAAATGATTCTAAAGTTTATATGGAAAAATAAGCATGCAAGAACAGTCCAGAAAATTATAAAAAAGAATAATGAAGAGATGTCCATTTTAAAGAAAACTCTTTAAAAATGTCAATGTTATGAAAGTTAAAAAAAAAAAAAGGCAGGGAAAGTAGATTAAAGGAGACTAAAAGAGCATGATATCTAAATGCAGTGCGATTCTTAAGTGGATCCTGATTTAAAAAAAAGAATCTGTAAAGGACATTTGGGGGATAAACGGGGGAAACCTGTATGTAGGCTGCATAGAAGATAAAATTTTTCCATCAAAGTTAAAATTTTAAGGATGACAACATCGTGGTTATATAGGAGAATGTACTTTTAGGAGACGTGCTGAAATATTGAGGGTGAAGTGTAAATGATGGTTTCAATTTATTTGCAAAAGTTCAGCAAAAAAATATATATATGTAAATAGACACAGATAAAGCAATATATTAACAACTGGTGAATCGAGGTAAAGAGCATTCTTCTTTTCTTTCAAGTTTTCTGTAAGCTTAAATATTTTCACTATAACAAGATAGGAAAAAACGATTACAGTAATAAAAAACAATAATAAGTCACATTATGCATACATATTATAGAAAAGTTACAAAATATAGAGAGGTACAAAAAAGAAAATAATTGCGGTTTATAATCCTACCCTTGGGGATACACAAATGACTGCCATTAACAGTTGGTTTCAGTATACAGCTTTCCAAAAAATTTCTGTGTGCATAACACCACCCCTCTTTTAAAAAGAATATACCATTTGTCTCTTACCGACTTTAAGGGAGGTAACATGGCTGCTAGTAATCCCAAAATCCTTTTCTGGGAACATTCAGCAAACACCTGCTCGGGGCTTGGAGTAACTGCCTTTTCCTCGATGGGCTTCTGAGATGATGCTTCTGAATTTTCAGCATCTGAGTTGTAAAACACCAAACGTTCAGATTTTGCCAGCTTCTATACATGTCCAAAGAGGTAAGTAAACCATGCACTGTTGCTGTGCCACTACAGAATAAAGCTGGGACTTTAAAAACCTATTGCTGAACACATCTTGGAGGCCTCCCCTGATCACTCCATTTAAATGTGGAGCCTGCCCTCTCATCTCTCCCACCCTCTCTGCACTCCCCATTCCCCACCCCGCCCTTTTGTGCTCAGAGCATTCAATCACCTTTTAACAGACTGTATCACTGATATTTATTGTTTTTGTCTGTTCTCCCTTCTAGATTTTTGTTTATTTCAGTGAGCTAACTCAAGCACCTAGAAATGTTCCTGGAGCATAGCAGGTACCCAATGAATACTTGACGAATTAATAAATTACATGTGAACCAGGTTGCTGATCCTCAAGGGAATCAGCTTAGAGTGGATTTTTTTTTTTTTTGTGAGGAAGTTCAGCCCTGAGCCAACATCCATGCCAATCCTCCTCCTTTTGCTGAGGAAGACAGGCTCCGAGCAACATCCATTGCCAATCCTCCTCCCTCTCCCCGCCAAAGCCCCAGCAGACAGTTGCACGTCATAGTTGCACATCCTTCCAGTTGCTGCATGTGGGATGCGGCCCCAGCGTGGCCGGAGAAGCGGCGTGCCGGCGCGCGCCCGGGATCCGAACCCGGGCCACCAGCAGCGGAGCGCGCACACCTAACTACTAAGCCACGGGGCCGGCCCTAGAGTGGATTTTGATGACCTGCACTGACGGGACGTGTCAGACTGTTTTCTGGAAGGTAGAATTATATGTGCTGTAGAGATGAGCATCAACCCCTTCTGAGAGCTGGCTCCACTGACAGGGCAGGATGCCAAGTGCTCACCCCTGCCTCCACCTGTGTCACAGAGTGGGCACATGGGAAAGATCCTGCCTCCCTGGGCTGCCATAAGGAGGAGGTTGAGGTTTGCTGCCAGTCTCTTTAGCCCACAGCACTGCCATCTCCCTGCTCAACAATCTTCCTAATACACATCTCTGACCTTGCCATTGCTATCCCCAGGCAGCAGAGTGCCACAGCACCCTCCAGTTTCACTCTCCAGTGTTCCACTCAATCCCTACACACCTGCCCAAGGGACTTCTCCTCTGTATTTGGGGGGCTTCCCACTCTGAGGCCTTGGCTCATGTGGTTCTTTCTGCCCTGAATGCCCTTCCCCAGGGCAGATGCTAGCACATTCAAGGTCCCCTGCAGCCCTTCCTTTATAAGGCTTTATGTGGATACAATCTGTTCCAGTTAGATATCAATCACTGTTAACCCCCACCTACACTTCTCTCTAGACAGAATCCCATTCTGTCTCAAATCATTAGTTACCTACTCCTGTCCTAAACCCTCCCAGACTGTAAGCTCCAAGAGCTTACAGGGCAGGAGCTATATGGTTATCTGTCTGACATGGTCCGTTTCATCCCCAGGGCGATCCCTAGCACAGTGCTTGGCACACAGAAGGCACCCAGTAAATTAGGGAATCAACAAGGTAGGAAAGCAGGCAAAGTGTAGGAAAGATGACTTACAAAGCATCATCAGCACCATCTGATACAGAACTGAAAAACCATGCAGCCTTGGGTGCTAGCCAATTTTAAATTCTGTGCAAGAAACATCTCAGCGTTGGGTATGTGTGCATTTTAAGATGAAAGAGATCAAGGTTGTGGTCAAACAGTCTTTACCTGGAAGTCCTGTAGGTGTGCTAACATCTGCAGGTGAGTCTGAAATTTGAGTCTGGCACGAAGGATCCTTCATTAACAATACACCTTCACCTGCCTTACTTCTCTGTTTGCAATCCGAAGGACTGACTGCCTTATGAACATCTCTTTTTCCCTAAAAACAAAATAGTGAGTGTAAAAGAATTCAGGTTTCTTACAACAAAAGTTTACTCATCAATATCATAATACAATTTTTAAAATCATTAGCCAATTAGTCTTCACAGACTAAAATACTTTTTTTTTTTTTTGGTGAGGAACATTTACCCTGAGCTAACATCCATTGCCAATCTTCCCCTTTTTGCCTGAGGAAGATTGTCCCTGAGCTAACATCTGTGCCAATATTCCTCTATTTTCTACGTGGGATGCTGCCACAGCATGGCTTGATGAGCAGTGTGTAGGTCCATGCCTGGGATCCAAACCCACGAACCCCGGGCTGCTGAAGCGGAGCATGCAAACTTAACCACCACGCCACTGGGCCAGCCCCACAGACTAACATACTTTTGAATTCCATCAGAAAATGTCCCTCATTTCTAATTAAGACAGTAATCACTGCACCACATCCCCCCAAACATCTTCCAAATGCCCGCGGTCAGAGCCTGCATCACGTAAGCAATGGCTTCATTATAAACCTCTAATATATTCTATTTAGCTTTCAGAAGCCAAGTATGGAAAGTTCTTCTCTTGGGGGGCAAAAAAAAAGTGGTGGATTTCCTTCTAGCACACTAAATTGACTTACACTTTTGAGAATTCCATTTTGGCAAGGAGACTTGTTAAGAGGGCCCTCACTGGAGCTAGGAGGGTTTTCTGGGCTCAGGAGTCTGGCAGAGAGCTGCTCAGGCTGGCAGGGTGACAGTCCTCAGCCTGAATTTCCTCAGGAGTCACTCAGAGTCACCCCAAAATCACCTTCACTCCCTGGGCACTCAGGGTGCTTTTCTGTGTTGTCACACAGGCTTGTACGTGGAATCTAGGCCACGCAGGAAGTCTTCTGTGCATGGCGGAGGCACCCCACCTCCAAGAAGTCTGGGAAGGCCAGGACGCTTTGGAGCTAAAGATGGAGCGCTGTACATCACACACTCCCAACAAGATCCTGACACTTCCCAGTGTAGCTAACTTATCCTCCCCTCTCTGGATACTGTAACCCCGACATCAATCCTACCCTCAACTCCTTCCTAAGAAAAAAGTGGTTATAAGACTGTCCTAAGAGGAGACGGAGACCGGGAGAGCTACTTGCCTTGTTAAAAATGTACCCTCTGAAAAGACCTCCAACACTACACTCTCTGTACCATGTGGCACTTTGTGAGGACAATATAATTCCAAGGTTCTGGCTAATAACTTCAGCTGGATCTTCTTTCCTGTTTCCACAGGACTCCAAAGAGCCACTGCAGTCGCATCCCTGTGGCACCCAGGGGGCCTCACTGCTGGCCTGAGGCTGTTGTACACAGAATCCCCTGGATAAGCCTTCTGGCTAAGGTTGGTTTCTCCGTTGTATAAAACAAAAAGTATCCCTAGTCACTGGAGGGAGGGAGGGAGGGAAGACACCCTTAACAGGTCCTGGGGTTGGCCTGAAGCATGTGTGAGTTCAAAAACAAGTGATCTGTACTCAGGGCTCAAATGGGATATGGTCCTTAGGGCCATCGTAGTGGGGACAGTGCTGGAAACCACAGCTTTGCCAGAAGACTAAGAGACTGAGCCAGAGGTAGGATACCCTGGGAGCACCCAGCTGCTGATGGCAAGGGGACCCAAAAGGTGGGGACACCTCAGGAATAAAAATAATGCCCTGGAAGCACCCTAGAAAAAGGCCGATTCTAGTCCTTAGGCAGCAAAAGCCTAAGACAAACTTGAAATATCTTTTTGTATCAAAAATTAAGGAAGTGCTCAAAGAATAATGGAGACATATCACACGACACAAAAGCCAGCTGGAAGGAGCTCCCACTGGCTAAACACGAGATGACTTGAGCACCTAAATGAATAATAAAAAGTAATAGATTTTAATCCATTGAATAAAAAAATGTGAGTTCATTCTGATATAAATGAATAAGTAGATAAAAGGGGAGCACAGTGCTTATGGGCGGCATGTTAAAGATTCTAGGAGCTCATGAGAAGATACAAACATTCCCAAGCTCAAAGGGCAAGACTGCTGACATATCCTGTCTCTGCTGATACCGTTGTCTCTGCCCTACATAATCCATGGGTGGTTAAAGTGCTGTCTGGAGAAGGCGTTCTGTGATCAAAAATGTTGACACCTCAGAGACAGGCTTGAAGACTATTATGTCAACTGTCTTGAGCTGACTCTCTGCCTGAATGAAGCTAAGAGAATTTGCAAGTTTTTGCTAGCCATCTTTGCTTTTGTCTTCCTCTAAATGACAATGGGATCCGGTGGGCTATAACCACCAAATGGGAGATCCTTGAACTAGTTAACATGATGGAGATGACGGACAGAAACATTAGCAGCTCCTGAGGCAAAGTCAAGGGCATTGACAGCATAAACTCAAGCTTTGGAGGCAGCATCACGGAAGCGATGCTGTGCTCCTCCACAAGGCAATCTTTAATGTCACTATCACAGGGTACGACTGGACCCAGAAAGGCTTTTCTTCTTCTCATACAAGTATATGCTGATGAGGAGCAGAATATGTGACCCCAAAATGTGCCACTTTGGCACATGGATTATTTTGAGCTGAAGGCAATCAAGACCCAGCAGATTCAAGAAAAACTTACTTCTCCCTTAACTACCGAAAAGAATTTATTAGATAGGGGGCCTGACCCAGAAAGACAGCTATTACCAGAAATAACTTTCTATCTGAAAAGTCTATCTGTACAGCAGGGCAAAGATCTAATTACCAAACACCTGCTCTTCTTAGTGTCCTGTGAATTACCCTCCTCTCCTTTGAAGCCCCAGGCCCCTATCCCATTCCTCAGCTAAGGATGGCATGTAAGCCGCAACTGTCCGACCTACCCTTGGGTCTCATATTTTTATGAGGCTACCCTACTTATGTAATTAAATTTGTTTTTCTCCTGTTAGTCTGTCTTATATTGATTTGATTATTAGACCAGCCAAAGAACCTAGAAGGGCAGAAGGAAAATTCTTCTTCCCCAACAATGGAAAGTACTATGTCTACTTGGTAAATAGTAAGCATTTAGTATCACCTCTTTGTTGGCTGAATATAAAAATAGCTACTCATATACAGTGTTCACTATGGGCCAGGAACTAATCTCTTTAGGTGCATATTCCTGTTCAATCCTTAGAAAAACTGTCAGGAGGCAGGTAACAGCAGTAGTTAAGATTGATATGGAACTTACTACGATCCTGTTTTAAGCACTTTACATACATTAACTCAATGTGTGTAATGTATGTAACTCCTCATAACAACGCTATGGAATAGGTATTATTATTATCACCCCCATTTTACAGATGAGACAACAGAAGCAGAGAGATTGTGGCAATGTGCCCAAGGTCTGACAGAGCAGGGATCTGAACCCAGGCAATCTGGGTCAAGAGTCTGTGCCCTTAACCTCTTGGCTCTGCTCCCCGTGTGAATGGCTCTCTGAGTTCAACCTGTGATTCTGCACAGTCAAGAACTGTTATTTACAGTGCAGTGCACGAAAGGGCCTGCGTCCGATGGCTTCTCTGCAACCTGGACAGCTTTCTTCTCTAGCCGCTCCTCTGATGTTCGGGTGGGCACAGTGACTGGCGGGGCCTGGTTTTCTGGGGTGGAGTCACCATCTGGCAATACACCAAGAAGAGCCAGAGCTTTAAGACCTACATGGGAAGCAAATAAGAGAATGGTGAAAAGTTTATAAGAAGGGCCATGTCCTGCAAATGCCATAAATCACTCTGCTGCTATATGGAAATGGACGACTGAGTTCTCCACAAACCAACCTGAAGAGTACTCAGTACGATCCCCCTGGCTATCCAGATCTCCTCAGCTCCCGATTCCAGACACCAAAAGTCTGGACAGGAGGGATACCTATACTTTATGAACAAGGGAGGACAAAAAATACAACAGGACTGTCTATTCAGAAAATCAGCACCATTAAATTTTATAGGAGCTCACACAACTAGATTTCTGAACTCCCACTGGCAAACAGATCACAAAATAGCTCTGAAGCCCTGGCATCATCCACCAGCTACCTAACACAGGCCTAATTTCCCTAATGTTTACCAGAATGAGGAGGTCCTTATTCTGAAAGAAAGTTAAATGTCTCAGAAGTTTAACACAAGTTAGTTTCTCCTTAGCACCCCTCAGTAAAGTCAAAATCATCTAGATATTTTATGAGCCAAACTATTTTAGTTATAAATAGCTCTCATCTAGAATACAGTTGTGTGGAAGTAGATTTGCACTCCAGGTTAAAAAAAGGCTGAATTCCTTCAGCAAAGTTAAGTCTGTTAGATTCAAATACTACATCCTTCAGCCACAGACATCAAGAGCTTTAATTATTAATATTTTTTTTACATCTTCATGTAAATATTTTAGAGAAACTAAAGCTACTTTAATTTCTCTCAAATGCATTTGTAAATTTAAAATTAAGTTTCACACGAGGGTGAGCACCTCTTGTGGAAAACTGGATTTTGTTGCCTCTAAAGCAAGTACAGTATTTCACTTCTGCTGGGGCTTTTCCTTCACGAGCAGCTGAGCATTGGTCTGGTTTCCGTACAAGAGGAACAATTACCTTTTCCCTGGTGAGCCTTCATCAGACAGTCCCCGACAAGCTGCATGCACTGGCTCCGCAGGATGGTGGCACTGCTGCGGGCCTGGGGATCCAGCTTCTCGCCATCCACATCCTCTGCGCTGGCCAGGTGGGCGCTATAGAGAGCCAGGGCGGCAAAGAGCAGCCAGGCATAGTTGTGAATGTAGGGCTGGATGAGCCTCTGCCGGTCACTGATCCGGATGGTCACCATCGGATGGGCTGTGATGCTGTGGGTAGGCAAATGGCTGCAAAGGCAAGACATTTTTAAGGCCACAAGCCTTTGTGAGCCTCCAAAAGGGAGAACAGGGCCTCAGGGGAGTGCACGCATGGTCATGACTGGGCATTAGTTACCTCTAAGGCTATGGTTATTGAAAATCTAAAGATAGGTATGGGCCCTCTCCCCAGAAAAATAAGCAAACACAAACATTGTTCATACCATTTCAGGATTTCACAACCCCCAGAAGACTGTCTACGGAAACCAGGTGAAGTAAGAATTCCTCATTGTGAAATTCTGCAGGGTGTGCTAATAGCACTTTGGTAATGTGAGAAAATGCCCATAATTTGTAGAGATGGATATGAAGTATGTAGGAAGGAAATGATTCAAGATCTGTAATTTGCTTTTTAAAAATGCAAAAAAAAAAAAAAAAGCAGACGTAGTAAAATCTTCCTAATTGTTGAATCTGGGTAATGGGTATATGGAGATTCATTGTACTACTCTCTCTACTTGTGGGTGTGTTTGAAATTTTTTATAATAAAAACCTTTTTTAAAAAAAGTAAGAAGCCCCCTTTTAAAGCAAAGGAATACGTGAAGCAAAGGTTACAGCACTAGAGGTCATCTGAGACATACCCATAAGAATATTTCTTTGCTGCATAGCATCCATAGCACAGATCAAAGTCATCGCACACGTTGCAATTCATCCTCCGGCCTATGATCAAACCCTGGCAATGGTCACAGGTAAACTCCATGTTGACCATTTCATGGTCATCTCCGTGGCCCTCAGGCTTCACTCCACCTGGCGGAAAAATAGCAGTGTGAGGTGGGTTGGGCAGAGGGCTCTTAGAAGGGCTAGTTTCCAAACCCAAACCAACTCCAGAAGCAAGGCTGTTCCCAATTTATTGCTCAGGATGTCAGGGGCCACAGGCATCTTTGGGAGACCAGGGCGTTCTGCCCAGTGGTTCTGAGCATATGACCAATATTCTCAGCACAAAACTTCTTAGCAACGGTACCATGGATTGACCCCCCCCCCTTTTCCAGCCCACACAGAGTCTGAACAAATAGATTACCAATTCCTGTCATGACCACCTTTGGCAGAAATAAGTCCACATGCCAATTTGTGAGCTCTCCCATGACCTCTCCTCTGAGACTATTGTATACTCCTGTTAACAAGCAGTGAGTGATCAGGTTTTTGCTCTTTTCATTCCAGAATCATAGATGGAAACAGACTTCATAACTCCAGACCCAGTGAGTGAGAAAGAATGTTACTCACGAAAGAGACTGACTACTCTGGTCTCCTCCTCACTCTAAGTCCACTGGGTCTCCAAGCTCTGTCATAGACTCTGCTAAACGCTCCTCACATCTGACCCACTTCTGTTCCCACTGCCACGAACCTAGTCCAGGCACTAATCCCCGGTCACTGCTGTGATTGATTTCCTAGGAAACTCTTACACGGACAGAACCACCTTCCTCTAGCATAGCTCTGATCGTATTAATACCCTGCTTGAAAAACCTTCCCCACTGACTGTAGACTCATTCAAATTCCTTAGCCTAGTATCTCAGGGTCCCACAGTCTGGGCTCCACCTCTCTCCATCCATCACTTAGCTGGTCAGACACTTGAGCGCGTCCATCTAAACATACTACAGATGCTCACTCCTCTGTCCCTGGACTCGCTCTGCTTTGGATGGCGACACACTCTCCAATGTTTCCTTCACATCATCTACTTCTAATTTTCTTCAAAGACCAAGTCACATCCCACCTCCTCCACAAGCCTTCCCTGCAACAGTGATTGCTACTACTTCAGAGCTTTTCCAGAATAATCTGTACTGCTCATCTGTAACTCAGCATGTACACTCTTGCACATTTTGTGGGCATGTCCAGTCTCCTGCTAAGACTGTGAACGCTTCTAGGGCAGGGGCTGTATCTTTTATGACTGGGCCATGCATACGAAGAACACTCAACTGCTCACTACTGTTGATCTGCTTTACCTCAGTACCTACAAGTCAACAGTATTCAAGAATTTTGAAGTTTTCTTCTTGTGTGTGTGTATTTTACTACTTGTAAATACCGCATGATTCAGAGGGAAAATAATTTCTTGGAAACTCAATGGAATGTACATTCATTGGTCCTGAGTATTTATCAAGTGTCTAAACCCAGCATGAATAAAGATGGAAGCATATCAGATAACAGAGTTCCAGAGCTCATCATTCAGTTTGGGAGATAAAGCTCATATTTGCCAACCAGTCAGAGAATACCACTGGGCAGTATTTTTATTTAATACAACGGGAGTTTAAAAAAATGACAAGATCACAGAAAATAGAAACGATTATTACTTTTGGGTATGGCATACTCAGACCATGAAATTTACCTAGGAAGCAAGTTTTGCAGAGATCCATGTCACTGCACTGCAGACACCGGTAGCGATGCCAGGGGGCAATCTCATCACACCCATCACAAGAGATATCCACGTTTAACAGGTCACAGTAGCGAGCAATAAACATGTGCATCTGTAAGGTGAAATAAGTACAATTAACCAACACATTTTCTGATGTGGCCACTATTCATTAATCAATCCATCATTCACTAGGTACTTAATTTATTCCAGGCATTGTACTAGGTGCTAGGATTAGAAGATGAAGGAGCTTAGTGTCTAGTTTGGAATTCCCTCAAGTAAACAGATGACACCAGACAGTATGATAAGGGCTTTAAGAGGCAAATGCAGGAGGCTTAGAGAATACTGAAGAGGGATATCAATGGGTGTTAGGAAGGTCATGGAGGTTTCGGAAACGCGATAATTCCTCAGTTGACACCTGAGGGACAAACAGATATTAGCTGAGTGGGGGTAAGGGTGGTAGGCATGCCAACTTAAAGCAATGGCATGTTCTACAGGAGGCAAAAAGGCAGATAATGGTTTGTGAAATTGGCAATAATTCAATATGTAGAATACAGTACAGAGTGAGGATAACCAGAAAAAGTTAGAAAGGTTAAACCACAAAGCACTTCAAATGACAGTCTCAGGAGTCACCAACCGTTTTTAAACAAGAGAGTAACGTGATCAGATCTGCGCATTCTAAAAGTTCCTGTGGTTACTGAAGGAAGAATGGACTGCAGGGGGCAAGACTAGAGTCAGGGAGCCTGACCATGACAGAAGCTGTTAAAGTAACTCCATGACAGGTGACAAGGCCTGGACTGAGCAGTACAAGAGATGGCGAAAGGTGGGCAGATTTGAGAGGGATTAAGGAGGCAGAAGTGAGGAATCTTGGGGACTGACTGGATATGGGGGTCAGGAAAAGGGAAAGGTCAAGAACAACATCCAGATTTCTGGCTCAGGTACTTGGTTGGATGAAGGTAGTCTTCACAGATACAGGAAACACTACAAAAGAAGCAGTGTTTGCTGGCACTTGAAAAGAAAACTTTCTGGGGAGATAGTAGGGCACTGTTTCATGAGCAAACAAATTGTTTTACTGGAAAGTACCTGAAGACTTACAGTACAGTTTATCTTTATGGCTTGGAAATAAGGGAAATAAATCACTAAGTTACCATACAGTAGTAGGTCAGAGCAAATATGCCAAGGCACCTTAGAACTACAGAATGGCTCCCAGTAAGATATTAAGATACAAGAGAGAAAAATCACAAAGGCCAAGTTGGTGTGCTCCATCCAAGTACCACAGAGGCGCTATATGAGCAAAGTAACTGGCACATAGTAGGCACACAATACTAAGAAATAATGACTCTGAGGCAGCAGATGCCTGGCACAACGTGGTGGAGACAGATTAACACCTAAAGTGGAGATGGACATGGCAGGCTATCTGAGCCTGATGCCTTTACACATTTGAATCATGTAACTCTGATTCTGTGTACACATGGCTGCTTCCATGCTCACCAGGCAATCTTCTGATTGGAACGTGGCTTCCCATGTTGCTGCTTGCCTACAGGGAGAGAATGTGCTACACCAAGGACACCAGAGCCCAGGGCCTTCAGCAATTCTATTTCTCACTGTAAACTAATAAATTGGCACCTAATATTATACTTCAGCCTCATGAGCCAATTTTCTGTGAGTCTAGTTCTACGGGAGGGAGCCATTCTCTGAGTGTGGTCAAGTCAGGATTCAGGGCTCCTCAGGTTAAAGACTGGACTCGGTGACAGCCGACTCACTAAGGTACTGAGTGTCACCTGCAGCCTTCTCAGGAGACATCCTGCTAGCACCCCGCCCCACCCCCTCCCTTGCAGGCAGACTCTACTCTCCAGACTCCTAGCAAATCACTTCAGATTACTCTAGTTGAGAGGTCTTACTTTCCTCTGCTTCTCGGGATCTTCCTGGGCTATTTTTTCATACCAAGCCTCAAACATGCCATCCTGACACTCATCCATCCATTCTGAATTCTGCTTGGCATCAGCAAGCTCATCTTCTTCACTCCATTGGCTGAAAGAAGGACATAAAGAGAGAAAAGCATGCCTCTCCCAATAATCAAGGAAAGCGCTGGTTAGCAGATCTGTGTCCTATGGGTCTAATATATGGGGCATTTTTAAACTTCTGAGGGGAAGAGGTCAATTTGGTTCTCAAAGCCCTGGGATTTGCCAGATGTGTGATAGATATCCATAAATAAAATGGAGAAACCTTTTCCAGAACAGACTACAATGGGTGAGGAATTAGAGCTTGAAAGGTTGTACCTACATGGCTTAATTCCACTCAACAACCATTTGTGGTGAACCTACTATGTGCCAGGCACCGGAGCCAAATAAAGTGATTTTTTTTTTTAAGTCTGATTTGCACATGCTCAGCACACCCTAGTGGTATCAGCAGGAGAAGGGAGAGACCCTGGGGCTTCGGCTCTCCCACTAGCTGCTGTAAGACCTTGACACAGCACTCAGCCTTGGTCCTTGGTTTCCTCATTTCAATAAAGAGTTTCACACATCGGGGCCGGCCCGGTGGCGCAAGCGGTTAAGTGCGCGCGCTCCGCTGCAGCGGCCTGGAGTTCGCCGGTTCAGATCCCAGGCGCACACCGACGCACCACTTGTCAAGCCATGCTGTGGTGGCGTCCCATATAAAGTAGAGGAAGATGGGCATGGATATTAGCCCAGGGCCAGTCTTCCTCAGCAAAAAGAGGAGGATTGGCAGATGTTAGCTCAGGGCCGATCTTCCTCACAAAAAAAAAAAAAAAAAGAGTTTCATATAGACAACCTATGGGCTCTTTTAAGATGTAGAATTATGGGGCCGGCCCCGTGGCTTAGCGGTTAAGTGCACGCTCTGCTGCTGGCGGCCTGGGTTCGGATCCTGGGCGAGCACCGACGCACTGCTTCTCCGGCCATGCTGAGGCCGCGTCCCATATACAGCAACTAGAAAGATGTGCAACTATGACATACAACTATCTACTGGGGCTTTGGGGAAGAAAAAAAGGAGGAGGATGGGCAATAGATGTTAGCTCAGAGCCTGTCTTCCTCAGCAAAAAGAGGAGGATTAGCACGGATGTTACCTCAGGGGTGATCTCCCTCACCAAAAAAAAAACAGATGTAGAATTATGAATTTCCATAATTGCAGTTTACAGTTTGTTTTAGCAACCAAATTTTAAATACGAAAGGATTTGCTTGCCAGCAAATGCAAAATATTTACCAACCAACGAATACATATTTGTTCATTCATAAATTCCAACAAATTGACGTTAGGCCTACTCGTACTTAGCTTTGGGCTAGGTGCTATGAGGGATTGGTAGTGAAGGGTGTGGTCCCATCCCCAAGGACGACATCATGCAGGCACAGGCAAAGCTTGAAACAACAAGCAGACTGACAGCTAAAGCGCTAGCATGCTGATGCCCAACCACACCTTCCCCCCTCAGCAGGGCAATGACTAAGGTTTAATAAACAAGGAGACAGCTTTAATTCTATCTGCTTTTCCCAGATTATCTCTTCTGAGACAGCGAAAATTGTCTCAATGTTGACTCATTCATTTATCTCCCCTTAATTCTCTCCACCACCAACTTACATACACTACCATGCAGACACTGTTCTATTGAGAAATAGAACTCATTTATTCTTCACAACAATCCTATGAGTTAGGTACCATTATTACCTCCAGCTCTAAAGATGAGGAAACTGCGGCACAGAGGGATTAAATAAGCAGCCCAAGGTCATCCAGCTAGTACGTGGCAAAGCCAGCATATTACACAGAGAGTCTAGCTCCAGAGTCTGTGCTCTGAACCCCTATGCCACGATTCCTGTATCTCATAATCTACTTTAGGAACCGCAGCATGCAGGACTGTGTTCTTACCTGATCACATTGTCATGGACACTTATATTTTCTTGCGACATTTTCATAAGGAGATCTGGTAACTGAATGTCAACAAAGAAGGAGAGGTCACTGGGTTCCCAGCCCATATCCAAAAGATGAAGCAGCGCTGTCTGAACACAGGACAAGGCAGGCAGCAAAGACCTAGAGAGACCAGGAAGGTGAAACTTATCAAAGCTGCCCATCGCCATCGGACAAAAGAGAAACAAGGCAAGTCAGAGACCTGGTCTGTTTGTAAGTGGAAAGCAGAGGGAACTCCAGATTGCTGGTTTGGGTTCCTCATAATCTCCTTTCAAATTTCTCATACTCCATACAAAATCTCTTCAAAAGACAGCATAAGAAAAAGACTTCTGAAAGCATAAAGTACGGTTTCCACTCTGCCAAGACTACCATAGGGGACATTTTATGGTAAAGGACTGAATAGTAAAAATCACCTCCTGATAAATAGCAAAATCAGGGCCAGCCCCAAATCAGCCCAGGTTGTGAAACTTAGACGTAGAACAGAACCATTTGATTTAAGGTTCATGTCTAAACCATACTATGGAGTAGATTGGGGAGTGGCTTTATACTCCAGTTTTAAAACTGTACATAATACACCAAAAACTGAAAATAACAGGTTACAAATTCTTAGATAAATGAAGACCCATCCCCTTTAAAAAACTATACACACTATGTAGAAAAAAGCCTCAGAGAAAAACAAACTAATAAGTTAACATTAGCAATTAGCTCTAGAATGTAAGATATGGGGTTATTTTTATTTTACTCCTTGTACTTTTCTATGTTTTCAGTATTGAAAATGTATTTCTCTTAAAATCAGAAAAAATACAAATAGTTTTTTCTCTAGAAATTATAAAGTTATCCAGTACCTGTCATTTATGCTACTAAATCCTTGAACTGCTTTGACCAAAAACAGAACCAACTGATAGTAAGTGTCTCGAATTTCTCTGTGTAGATCTGCACCACAGGCCTCCAGGTGTCCAAAATAACTAGAAACAGAGGAAATCATCAATCACTTAATTGCCAGAACATCATGTATTTAATAATCATTATTCCTTACATAAAAAAGAGCCAAGAAGCAGGAAGCTGAATGAAGTGGCGCAGAAACTTTAGTAATCACAAATATAAAAACTTCAGAAAGCAATGGACAAAACAGCAAGTGAGTCCATCTGCTGGGTCAAGAGGGCTGCCTACAAGGAGTATGGAGATGACAATTATTTATCTTTCTTTGTTAATATAAACAAATATAAAGCCCTCCCACCACAACCTGAGTGCCAGATACTGAGTTAAGTATTTTTCACAAATTATCTCATTTAATCCTCTCCACATGGTCATGCCCACCCCTCTGCCGCCCTCAGTGATGACTTTAGCACCAAGCTCATTGTCTTTTCTACCTTGATCCTTGTCACCTTGGAGACTTCAACATCCATGGGAATGATGCCCCAGTTCCTCTGTCTCCAGATTCTCTGCCATCCTCACTTCCAATGATCTTCTCCTTCATACCCTTGGCCATCCTAGTCTGATGGTTATTTCCTTGACCTTGTCATCACACTAACGGCCATTACCTCTGAAATCCTGACTTCAGAGCACCCTACTCTGACCACGACCTCTCATCCTGTTCACCTACTCTGAGACTCCCACAACTGCCTTTCAATCCCAATGAGCCCCAACCCACGACGCTGCCTCTAGTTCACTATCTACTACCCTTGCTGTGCCTTCTCTTTGCTCCATACTCAGCTTAGATTCCATGGCCCAGCACCATAATCACATCTTAGCAATCACCAACTCCCTTGCTGCTTTCTTCCTCCACATACATGCATAAGAAATCTTAAACCTATATCAAAACAGCTAAGTGTTGCTGGAGGAAACACCACACGCCCAAGCTGACTCATATCACTGTAAACTCACAACCATAATTCTCAAATAAGCACTCAAAATTGTCAGGCGACCAGACTGACTTTCCCAATTTTCATTACTATTTCAAACCTTCTTGCCTCTCTTTAAACTGCCATTACTTCCTCCTAAATCTTCATTTCTAGCTGATGACTATCTTCATATTTTATTTTCTAAAAACAGAAATGATCACACAAGAATTCCTTCATCTTTGCACCACCAAACATCTTGCATCTCTATCCATGCTCTTTCCTCTTGCTACCACAGAGAGAGTCTCCTGGCTCTCTCAAAGCCCATCTTCTCTACTTACACAACTGCTACTGCATTGATCTCTTTCTTCTTGAGTCAAATTTCCTCATTACTGATTCATTCACATCAGGGTACAAACATACTCTAACATCTCTTAAAAACCCTCAGTTGATCCCACATCCCCTCCAGTTACTGCCCTATTCCTCTACTCCCTTCTGAAAATAATTGTTTATAGTCTCTCTCTCCGTTTAATTACCCCCATTCTCTTCTCAACCCAGTTCAACTGGGCTTTTGTCCCCATGGCTACAGTAAGACTGTTGTCAAATCCAATGTGTTCTTATCTTACACAACCTCTTGCATTAGCATTCGACCCAACTGACCATTCTCATCTTTTGAGATACATTCTTCTCTTGGCTTCTATGACTTCACCAGCCCCTGGTTTTTGCTCTCAAAGGCCACTCTTTCTTGATCTTCTTAGCTGACTCCTCCTCCTCTGCCTGACTTCTAAATAAAGAAATGCCCCTAAGGTTCAGTCCTGAGTCCTCTTCTTGTCCATGTCTGCACTCTTTCTAGGAGGTCTCATCTGGTCTCAAAGCTTTAAATACCATCTATATACTGATAGCATCCAAATTCTATCCCTAGTCTGGCTTCTTTCCAGAACTTTACACTCTTAGCTCTCTTTTCTTGGTATCTTTACTTGGATGTGAAAGAAGCAGTTCAAACTTAACATGACCAAAACAAAACTTTTGATTTTTGCGCCAATCTGTTTCTTCCATACTCTTCCCTTCAGTAAAATGCAATACCATCCACACGACTGCTCAAGCCAAAATCCAAGGAGTTTCTTTCCCCATGATTCCTTTCATTCACCCACTACATCTAATCCATCAATAAGTCCTAACAATTCTATCTCCAAAATCCTGAATCTCATCTTTTTCTCTCTATCTCCAGTGCTATTCCCTGGTCCAAACCACTACCATCTCTTGCCTGGACTACTGCAAGAGTCTCCTAACTGCTTTTCTTACTTTCACTCTTTTTCATAGTAGGCAGAAATATCTTTCACAAATATAAATCACACTGTGTTCCTCCTGGGCTTAAAATTCTCCAGGGGTTTCCCGTCCACGACTCAGTATAAAATACACACACCTTAACTTGTATCTGACACAGCTTTCTATGATATGGGCCCTGCCTAGTTTTCTGACCTCGTCTCCTCCCATTTCCCCTCACTCAGGCACAATGGCCTTCTTTCTGTTCCTTGGGCTAATCCCCCACCCTAGCCTCTGCGCTGTTCCTTCTGCCTTAGTGCTCTCCCCCTGACCTCAGCTGGTCACTCATTGCTTGGTTTACATGTCATCTTCTCAGCCGGTCTTCCCTGACTGCTCAAACTAGGTCACTCTGTATGAAATCACCACACAGCAATATGACTATCTGACATATATATTTCTTATTGTCTATTTCTCCTCAATAGAATACAAGCTCCATTGGAACAAGGATCTTGTCTGCCATGTCCATGGCATATACAACACCTAGAACAGTGCCTGGCATAGTCAACACTCAGAAAATATTTATTGAATAACTGTTAGAACAACCTTGTGAAGTACTTAGATTAATGTCATTACTGTAAATGAGCATTAAATTTAGCTCACAGCTTCCAGGAGCCAAATGATGAGTATGGGTATATGGGGAGTACAATCCTTACTGTCTGGGGAAATAGCTGATAAACTCATCAGGAGGAATGAACATGTTCCTGGTATTTACTTACTAAAAGGAGGGAACCCATTTTTTCTTAGGATGAAAGAATGAATTGACCAAAAACGTAAATTTGTATCCTACGTGGAAATGACAGAGTTATTAATTAGAGAAGACAATTAGGATTTCTTTAAAATGACCCATGCTTGTTTTCCTTGCAGACTTGTAATTTGTACTTACTTGGTAAACTCTTTCTGGCAGGTCAGAAGTTCCAACAGGAAAAGTATATAAGGCGGATGGAAGCAATGAGGCTGTCCAAGGGATTCTGCACAGTACTGAATTATCCTCAGGACTTCAAGGATGCTCCGGGCTTGGGCTTTCTTCAAGGAAAGAACCTTTACAACACTGGAGACAGAACTCAAGTCAGGAACACTCAGAAAACTCTCGAGCTGGGGCAGAAAGAAAACATACACCCACCCAAGTTCTGATGCCATATTAATAGAAAGGAAATATTATTGTGAGGTATCAGAAATATCATTCAGGGAGGATATCAATACCTGTTTGCTACTTTCAGTGATTACTCAGCAGCATTACAAATCAGCTCATACCAACTGTTCAGAAGCCCAACGCATATTAAAAAATTAATTAATTAAAAAGGAACTTGAATATTTTTACTTCCCCATAGAGACAAAGCCTTAATTCTTAGGACAGGAAATTAAAACATGCAATACTTCCAGAGACGTAGGCTCACTGACAAGTAATTTTGTCAGAAAATATCAAATCCTAAATTTCTCCCAGGGTAAAATAAGACAAATTTATAAGTCGCAGCTACCAAAAGAAATATTTCTTTTTTTTATCCCAACAGTACATTATTGAGTTATAATTTACATACAGTATACTGTACAAATCTTAAGTGAAAAAATGCTTCTTTAAAAGAAAAAACAATCACCAAATTTTTTTCCTTGAATATTCTAAAACAAATCTTGATCTATCATTCAAGTATTATTTCTTCACTTTTAACATGAACTGCAAGCCTTTGACTAGACTGGGTACCCACGGCTTGAGGAAAGGAAGTGCTGGGAAGGTAACGCCTGGCTCACCTCTCGTGGGAGAGTGACTGATCTTTAATGAAGTCCATGACGTCCTTCAGCACCGGGTATTTCTCTTTTACTGTGGGCACCGGTCTGGCCTCCTCCATCGATCTGAAGGAGAGTAGCCGGAGTCGCCCCCGCGTGAAGGGAGGCCGCCGGGTAGGAGTGGAAGGTGATGGGGGTTCTTCAGCTGTGGCAGAGGATACTTCTGCAGCAAGAGGGCCACTGCTGGGTGGCAGCTTTGGCTGGACATCCAAGTCAAGACTCCCATCTCCTGCAGCTGGGGGAGCTGCTTCAGCAGGAGGTGCGGAAGCTGGGACGTGCTCTTCCACCACAGAGCTCGTCCTCTGGCGCTTGTCGAGAGGCTGCAGATTATCAGTCTCATCTGCAGTCACCAACTTGGCACAGCTTTCTTTTGAACTTACACCCATGGGCAGAAATTTTAGTAATAGAAGACTCTTTTGAATACACTCTTTCGCTAAATGCAAAAAGCAAGAAGATAATGAAAAAAAAGTCAAAATCAAACTTATTGCCTACTTTTGCAAAGAAAATAATCTATTTAAACTATATAATTTAGGACGAGAAATATCTCCATTAATACAATGATATACACATCTACCGACAGAATAGAATCAAATTTTATCTCATTATACAAATCAAAATCTTCCCACAGTGCTATCAGCACACTTTAAAAAAGTTTTACTGTGGAAATTTTCAAACATACAGAGAAAGAATAGGATAAGGACCCCTCCATGCACCCCTCACCCAGCTTCAACAGTTATCAACCCAGGACCAGTCTTGTTTCACTCCCTACCCACTCCCCTCTCCTTGGATTATTTCCATGTAGATCCCAAGCATCATAATTTTTCATCTAAAAACTTCAGTATATTTCTCTAAAAAAATAAGAGTTTAAAAAAATAACATAACCATGATATCATTAAAAATTAACAGTTAATTCCTAATTTCACTGAATATTCAGTGTGAGAACACTTTGAAAACATAACAAGATGTAGCTGAAAAAAGCACCTGATGCCTCATAAGAGAAGTAAATAGAAAGATGCTCCATTTGCATCATGTTAATAAACAGTTGTTCCTCTCTGGCATTTTTCTATTTGTGCTATATCCTTGGAAATACTATTTAGTGCCTGTGTTACCTTCCCTAGGTCAACACAGCTTCAACTAAAATAATCTAGAAGATGGGTTACTGGTTTTCTGTGATAGGAAACAAGGCCCAGTACTGACAGTTGGCATCGACACACTCACCCAGGCTCTCAGGGTTTGTCTCAGCAGCTTCTGACCCGAATTTTTCTTCTGCCTCGTTCCCCAGGCTCATCAGGGACTTCTGCTTCATCTCTAACTGGGGGGAGGATTTGAGCCACATAATTACACAGTCCAGACAGGGCAGCAAGGGCAGCCACAGCAAACTACTTCAAAAGCACACAGCACTGAGATCATGGAGAACTTGACAGTTATTGTCCAGCTGTTGAGGACACAAGGTGGAGCTGTTTTTGTCTGTCCTAAAAGCAATCCAGGCTTTGAAGCTGTCAAAAGGTGTATCTGCTAAACTACCTTCTTTTCAACCATGTGTTATTTGGGAGAGGTTTGTACCCATGACCCTATTATTTAAAAAATTCTAGAACACTGGAGCTGGAGGAGCCCTTAACTAAAGCCAACCTAGTACAGACAACGAAGCAGAAATCTAGAGAAGTGAAGGGTCTTGCTAGGGTCATACACTCAGTTTGCTGCAGAGGTTGGACCAAAATTTGATTCTACCCTGAATAAGGGGACACTTCTAAGTGATGCTGCAACTGCCAGGCAGAGAACAGTGCTCCTAGGACCACCACGGGCAATGGTCACAGTGTGGGCCAGAGTGCTTACAGCCCAGGCAGAAGGCCATGTGTGATGTGCGAGATGCCAAAGTCTTGGAGAGAAGGTTGGCGTCTTGTCCAACTTTCGGCAGTCTGTCCTATGCTAAACCAGAAGCACAATCTACAATGTGCCTTGTCAACTGCCAAATCCTTTTTACTTCAACTGTCTGTGGCAGCTGACTTTATCAGACACTCTTTTTCTTAAACTGCTACTACTGTCTTGGCTTCCCTAACAACACACTCTCCTGATTCTCCTCCTACCATTCTGAGGATGACATCTTTTAATTTCTTTTGAGAGATCCTGTTCATTGTGGTCTCCATCTATCTATCCAGTATATATTGAGCACCAACTATGTTCTAATCATTGTGGAGTCTGTCCAAGGCTGTCTGCTCCTGGATAAACTCATACATTTAAAAAAAAATTATTACCAACCATTTGTAGTTATTCTTATCTCTGCCTTGACATTTCCACGAAGCATCAGCCATTTAGATTCTTTCACATTTACTAAATTCTCCAGCTAAATGTCTCAGATAACCTAGATGTCCTCATATTCAGAATGTCCCAAACTGAACTTACCTCCCCACTTCCAGATCCAAGACCATTTTTCCTATTCTGGTCAATGCTTCTACCACCAAGTCACCCAAACCAGGAACATGGGAACAGTCCTAAATTCCATCCTCCTGTTCACCACTTATATCAATCACAAAGTCTAATTATTTTATTTCCTAAGTAGCAGAAACCATCCTCATCTAATTACTACAATTAGTCTCCTGCTTTCAATCTCATTATCCATCCTCTACTCAGTTATTTAAAGATTTTTTTTCCCCAATTACTATACAATATTTAGGATGATTGTGAATATATAAAAAATAAAATACTAATATATAGGTATTCATCTCCATACCGAAGAAATAAAAACAATTCTGAATTTGGTGTTTTTCATTTCCATGCATTTGTATAATTTTACTACATATTTATGCACACAACATATAGATTTGGTTTGTGTTTAAACTTGATAAAAGGAATAGCACACTTATGCATTCTTGTACAACTTGCTTTTTTTTTCATCACCATGTCTGTGAACACCATCCGAGATACATAGCTCTATTTCATTCACTTTCATTGTACTATAGTATTATATTATCATTTTACATTGTAATATAGTCTTATATATTAGACTAGTAATATATAATCTTATTGTCGGGCCGGCCCCGTGGCTTAGCGGTTAAGTGCACCCGCTCCGCTGCTGGCAGCCCAGGTTCGGATCCCGGGTGCCCACCGATGTGCCGCTTCTATGGCCATGCTGAGGCCACGTCCCACGTGCAGCCACTGGAAGGATGTGCAGCTATGGCATACAACTATCTACTGGGGCTTTGGGGGAAAAAATAAATAAATAAAAATATATTAATCTTATTGTACATTCTCCTACTAATGGATATTTGTTCTTTTGGTTTATTGCTGTCACAAACAATGCCACAGAACCACTTTTCTAAAATGCAGAGAGGCCTCGCCCCTGCCTAAAACCGTCACTGGTTGCCCAGTATCTAAAGCAATGCATTTCCTTCCGGTCTAAGAGGTTCCAGAGTGGCCTTTGGGGTTAGCGAAGGAGGTAAGAGGAGCTCAGCTGAAGCCTGTTTACTCTGAACGTTCTCAACACTCACCGAATTATGATTTCCAGGGTTCTAAATTATTTTATATCCATTTATTCACTGAACTTTAAAAAAATTCCTAAAGTTATATTCTTGAGAAGACAGCTACTTACCTTAATTCCGTGATATCATGGTGGGAAAACTCAAAATACATAAAAATCACACGCAAAGGAAAATCTTACCATCCATATTCGAATCCCATCTGCCAAGGAATACACCTGTGCAAACTCCTCACTCAGGGCTGTCTTGCCCCCACTGTTTACTGGGGAAAGGAGAGACCGAGAGATTACATTCAGTTAACATAATTCACTACCGCAACAGTAAGCACAAAGTAGTTTCCAAATCTCCTAACTCATTAGAAAAAGCCCTTCCCCTGACACCCACCCACACATTGGGCGTGGTAAGAGAAGCTGGGGGGGGGCGGGAATGATCAATTAAGCCACAAATAGCTGTAATGGGTTCTGTGTGTTACTTCAAACTAACTTTTTTCAAACGAACAACATCTGAAATGGATATGCTATTAAAGTGAGTGAAATATTAAAAGTAAAAAATATAGGGCCGGCCCCATGGCTTAGCGGTTAAGTGCGTGCGCTCTGCTGCTGGCGGCCCGGGTTTGGATCCCAGGCATGCACCGACGCACCACTTCTCCGGCCATGCTGAGGCCGCGTCCCACATACAGCAACTAGAAGGATGTGCAGCTATGACATATAACTATCTACTGGGGCTTTGGGGGGGAAAAAATAAAAAAACAAAATCTTAAAAAAAAAAAAAAAAGTAAAAAATATAAAGGTAAAATATTAAAAATATTACAAGTAGGGGCCGGCCCAGTGGCGCAGCGCTTAAGTTCGCACACTCTGCTTCGGCAGGCTGGGGTTCACACGTTCGGATCCTGCGTGCAGACTTATGCACCACTTATCAAGCCATGCTGTGGCAGGTGTCCCACATATAAAATAGAAGAGGATGGGAATAGATGTTAGCTCAGGACCAATCTTCCTCAGCAAAAAGAGGAGGATTGGCAACAGATGTTAGCTCAGGGCTAATTTCTTCACCAAAAACAAAAACAAAATTAAAATTAAAAATATTAAAAGATAATTATTGACACGCAGAAAAGTTCATGATATATATTGTTAAAAAGGCTGGTTATGAAACATATAAAAAAATTATCTTATTTAAACAGAGTATACAGGGGCTGGCCCCGTGGCCTAGTGGTTAAGTTCAGCATGCTCCGCTTCGGCAGCCCAGGTTCAGTTCCCCGGCATGGACCTACACGACTTGTCAGCGGCCATGCTGTGGCGGCCATCCACATACAAAATAGAGGAAGACTGGAACAGACGTTAGCTCAGGGTGAATCTTCCTCAGCAAAAAAATAAATAAATAAAAATAAAAAAATACATCTTCCCTTTTAAAAAATAAAGAGTATACATATTAAAAACATGACGTCCATATATGCATACACACATATAAATATACCTAGATAAAAGGACAGGTAGATATATGGAAAAACGTTAATAGGGCTGTTCTTGAAGTCTCTTGAATAGAGATGTTCTTGAGAATACAGTCAATAATTATTTTAAGCTTTTCTGTACTTTGTAAGTTTCTACATGAATGGGTATTATTTTTATAATTAGAACAATAACAAACAAGTTGTGTTTTTTTTTTTTTTTTAAAGAAAGACCTATGAGGCCTGCCCCTTCTCTTCCTCTAAAAACCAAAGGATAATACATTAGAAGAGTGTGAAGCTCTCTGCTGAAGCAATGTATAATGCAATGATATTTCCTGAATACCTAGAATGTGCTGGGCTACATACCAGGCACTGGGAATAATACAATGTTGAGAAAAACAGACACGATTCCTGCCCTCAAGCAGCTTATAGTCTAGCTGAAAAACCCCTCCTGTATTTTTCTAACCCAAAAGGGTGACCAATTTTTAGACAAAGATGAGCAAATGAGCTAGACAAGGACCACTCTCTAAGCGGTTCAGTCTTGAAGAACCCATGAATAGCCCTTAAAGGAAGAAACAGAAAGAACTGAGACCAGCTATGCCTCCTTCAAAGCCACAGTGGTAGGTATTCCATAAACAACCTGTATTCAGTGAAATAGTTCCAGTTCCCACATTTGACTGTGTGTTTATCTATTGCAAATACGTATGCGATATCTGAACATGATTTGAAAAGACACTGGGGGAACTCTCTCCCAGCCAGAAACCTTCTGTTTCTCAGCTCTTACCTCACAAGGATTTTATCCTCCTACTCAAAGTTCCCATAGGTAATAAAGACTGTCCAGCTCGCTTACCCCATTTTCACTACAAAAACATACACTGCACTTTTTTTTCAAAACCATACAGGTCACCTCACCCACCATCCCCCAGCAAAGACATACTCTTCCATATGACAGTTGTTTCCATAAATCATTCATGCCTCTATGTAGTTTTATATTTTTGAACAGCTTCTTACAGGAGATATTAAGATTTGAGGGAGCAATGGAGATGTTTTAAAAATCAGGAAATAAACTCTGCAATGTGAGATCCAAAGGACTCAGCAATAAAGGTAGTAGTGATGATAATATCAATAATAATAAGAGCAACAGTCAATTACCTCCTCTAATGGAAGGAAGCATGTGTTCCTGCTTATTTCATCTGCACCATGGATAGAACACATAACCTGCCAAAGTGCTTGGGAAAACCCATATCTCATCTTTAGGTAGGGTTTGAAATGCTTTTCCCCTGAAAGATTATGAGTAGAGAGAGACTCTCCCTCTTTGTGGGTCCTGTTAGGCTGCAGGCCACATACACAGTTAATACACAGAGATGATATCCCTGGGGGACATGAGGAAAAGAAACGGTGAGGAGCAGGCTATCGACAAAGCAAGCTGAGCAGGGATGATGCTACAAAGAAGCTGTACGTCTAAAGATAAGAATTAATACCTACATTTTCCTCCTTGGTTATTAGCACATTCAATTACCTAAACATCTCAGGTTTTAATTGGAATTTCTTATAATGTTAGAGCTAATCAACTCTAAGCTTTTACAGACAAGGATACTCAGGTGCAGAAATGTTGTCTGATTAACCTGAAGCTGCACAGCATCTAGTTTTTGAGCTGGGACTATAACCAAAGTTAAGGTTTCTTTCCATTAAACTTCTTGGCAGTTTTCCACGAGAATTCTGGATAAAGACAAATTATCTGCTAATTAGGAAACCCACGGCTACTTTGCCATATATTACAATCTGCTAACTGTAAATTGGTCATGAGTCTTTTGACTGGCAAAGTAGGACTAACAAGATGAAGTCTACAGTTGTAGAAATACGTTTATATTTAAAAATATTTAAAAATTTTCACTTAAAGACAGGCTTTCTTAAAACTTAGCAATTGGCCTTCAGATCAAAAATATTCCCTGTAATATAAGTTACCATATTTTTGCAGCTTCTCATATAAGTCTGGAGTGCGATACACCAGAGCAGCAAAGGTGGCGTTCACAGCTTGATCAATAGTGGAACCAGCAACTATATCTGTCTTTGGGGCCTGTTTTCTACATGCCTGTATGAATCCTTTGAAAAGTTCTGAATATGGCCCACAGAAGTTCTGGGCAGGATCTGACTGCGCAAAATCAAGAAGAAAATGGTGGCAGGGATCATCACGGATGTTCTTAACCTGGAAACAACAACAAACAAATCCCATCATGTTTAACACATTCACTCAAAAAATAAAGTTTACTGAACACCTACTAGGCCAAAGCAGAAGTATAAAACATGGTGCATACTGTCAGGAAGTTTAAATCTATTTTGGGGAGACCAGACAGATATATGGGTTAAAAAAAGGTAAACATAAATAAAACATTAAGAGCATTAAAACTAGCACTACTATAAAGCAAAGGATTATCAAGTATCAAATGCCTAGAAGGGACACCCAGTGCTGAGAATTCACAGGAGAGAGCTCCCGGCAGGTTAAAGAAATTAAGAAGAGCCTCCTGGAGGATATGGGCTTTGGACTGGACCCTGAAGACTCGGCAGGTTTGGCCCTGAAGAACATAACCATTAGCAGAAGTTAAGAGTCAGTAGGGAGACTGACCTGGCCTGAAGTTTCAGCTGGGGAGTGGTGGGAACTAGAGTCAGATAGGTAAGGTGAAAGAAGACTGTAGAGAGCCTTGACTGTCACACTGAGGAGTTTAGACTTCACCCTGTGGGCAACGGGGAGCCATTAATGGTGCTTGGCAGTGGAATGACAAGATAATGCAGTGATTAAAAAAAAAACTTGGTAGGTACCAATGTAACAATGCAAGTGCAAGATGAGGGCCTGCTTAAAGGTGGAGACAGAGGAAATGGAAACAGATGAATATCACAGGGAAGAATCCATAGAGCTTGCAGCTGACTGGATAGGAAAGGTGAGAACAAGGTGGGGTTACATGTGATGCTAGGGAGCAGCGGCTCAATGCTAGGAAAACAGTAATGAAAATAACAGGAGTGAGCAGTCAGGGAAGACATCCTGGTTTTACACTTCTGGGTTAAAGGGAGTCGGAACACTGAAATGGAAATATCTAACAGGAAGAGGGATATACATGACTGGAGCCTGGGAGAAGAACCAGGGCTGGAAACTGATATTTAGGAATTATTCACACAGGTGTGACAGCAGAAGAGAGAAGAGAGGATAAACTCTTGGTGGGTTGTTGGAAAGGGAGAAAGCCTGAGTGAAGCCTACTCTTTAGAGAAGGAGGAATAAGAGAGGTCAGTAAAGAAGGCAGATGGAGTGGTTAGATTAAGAGAAGACAGTGAACTATCATGGAATCAAAAGAAGAGAGGGTCTGAAGGAACCGAATTTCATAGAGAGGTAAAGGAAAAGAGAAGCTGAGGAAGAGTCCCTGGATTCAGCCATTAACTACCGAACCACCTGGGCGTGGGGGAAGGAGAGAAGAAGGGAGGAGAAGTAGTAGAGCAGAGAGAGAGGGAAGGAGAGATGAAAAAGAGACAGCGGGAAAATTTGTTTAGTTTTTTGAAGTATTCTAAGCCTGAATAATGGGCTACCACTCCACGGAGAACAAAAGATACAGCATAAATTGTTTCAAGTTTGACTCAGCGGGCACTAGAAATAGACTCAACTTGTTTGTTTAATAACTCCATCAAGAGAGGTTTACTGAGTACCTACTACATTTCACTGAAGAGTCATCATTCAATATTTTTGAACACCCATTATGCACTGGCCCCTGTGGTACACCGTGGGGACACCAAATGAACAAGGGATAGTTTCTGCCCTCAAAGAGCTAAGAGCTTAGTGGGGGTGATAAGATATAAATACAAATGCTTATAATTTAAAGTAATAAATATCAGTAAACATTTTCCATCCCAAATAGAAAGACAATAGAAGAGTAAATACCTCCTTACTATCCTGGTGTGAGTGAGTGGGCCAGCTTGCTTCTAATCCCAACTCTGGACATATCTGATGCCTGAAGACAGGTTTCCACAAGGGGGAGTTTAAGACTAATGCCATTTTTGCCTGAGGTATAGCCATGTTACTTCCTAACTCTGGAAAGAGAAGAAGGCTTATGAGAGTTCTATTTTTTGCCTTAACACACTAAGAATCTTTGAACTGATGAAGAAAAGGCTTAAAAAACACTTGGACATTATTAAGACTTGGAGGGAATTCACCCACATTAACCAGAATGTTCAATCATGATACTTCATAAACACATACCCCAGATGAAACCAAACCATAAGGAAGTCCTGAAATGCTGCCATTCTGTGGAACAGCCTCAATTATAAGGTATCTCTGAGATGACTAATCTGTATAGTAAGCTGAAAACAGAATGTGAACCACCTCTAGGGTATAACAGGAGACCACCTAGGAATGTGTAATTATGGGGAAATGTTCATAATTTGTAAACTTAAGTCTGTGAAAAAAGGTAATAATTAAATACCCACCATATATGTGTTTATGAATAGACATAGAAAAAAGACCAGGTGGAAATACATAAAAATGTTAATAATAGTTATAGCTGGGTGTTAGGATTAAGGGTGGCTTTTCTCCTTGGTTTTTTTCCATCACGCAATTTTTCTATGATATTTTACTTTTATAATCAGAAAAACTCAAGAAATGATATAGAAATAAAATACACTAAAAAGTTTTATTCTGGGCCGGCCCCGTGGCTTAGCGGTTGAGTGCGCGCGCTCCGCTACTGGCGGCCTGGGTTCAGACCCCGGGCGCGCATCAACGCACCGCTTCTCCGGCCATGCTGAGGCTGCGTCCCACATATCCCACATACAGCAACTGGAAGGATGTGCAGCTATGACATACAACTATCTACTGGGGCTTTAGGGGGAAAAATAAATAAATAAAATTATAAAAAAAAAAAAAGAAAGTTTTATTCTATAATTGTTTCTTGGATAAATTTAATAACTAAGTTGAAGAAATCACTTCAAGACAAAATCCACATTCACATATTTACATAAATATTCACACAGTTAAAGGATATGCAATTAATTTACTCTATATTTCTGCCTTCTTATTGGAGTATACCAAAATTCGCTTACAAAAAAAGGATAACAATGCTGCTCAAAACCAGCTTCCTCCCCCATTTGTTCTCCATAGACAGGGAAGCCACAGTATCCTTTGTGATGTATTCCAAAGTCTGGGTCAAGTAACTTTATGAAAATGGTGTCAAGTGAATACTTTATTCTGGTTTGGTTTAAAGGAAACTAAAAGGGAATTTTATCAATACCTTTGCTCTGCCACTATGTGGAGAAAACTTACACGAGGGAGAGTACCACCTTGATCTTCAATATGGCTGTAGCAAGAAGGGAAGGGAGAGATATGTGAACTTACGATGCATAGACTTGAGGGCCATGCACTGGGAAGCAAGGCGTCCCATCAGTCGGGAAACAAGGAGTTGTAAATCCAACCCCCAAGACACAGCAACATCAGGCAGGCCATAGGCAGTGATAGTGAATTTGTAGCCCCACTCATTGTTACTGCTGTCAGAGTGAAAGAGAAACTGTAGCCGAGGACCAGCCTTAAAGGTCACTTTCTAGAGACAAACAAAAAAGTCATGTGATCAAACAGATTTGAGAAGGCAGCGTTTCAGTAATAAGCATGTTCTTCAGGACTCAAAACAACCTAAATTGAATACTGGTGCATATTGTCACCATTATGTCTTATCATCCCCACCAAAACTATGAAAGGAGAAATGTACAACAGAGTAACTGAAACAGAAAATTCATAACTGCACCTCATGAAGAAGCAAAGCTGGCAGAAAACTGCTGGTCAGTTTTTTAAACCTTGGATGCCCATCCACCCACTACCTACTCAGCCAGAGGTCATGCTTGCCCATTCCTTTGCTCCCAACCAAGAGCACTGACAGCAAAGAGAAGGTCAACAGTCTGAAGCAGAACTTAACCTCCCAGCCCCAGAGATCATGCAGACCTAACTGTGAGGTGGCCTCCTGGCTTTCCCCAGCCTGGTCTGGGCCCTCCTGGACCCATCAGCCTTTTCTTGCTAAGGATTACAACTTCCCATTTACTCTGAACAATGTGATATCAACCAAGAGTTGGAAAACTTTTTCTATGAAGAACCAGATAGTAAAGTATTAGACTTTCTGGGCCATACAGTCTCTGTCGTGACTACTCAGCTCTGCCACTGCAGTGCCAAAGTAGCTATGGATGCTAAATAAACAAATGGGCATGGTTGTGTTCCAAAAACACCTTATTTACAAAACAGATGATAGGTTGTAGTTTGTGGAACACAGATATAAACCTTTCCTTTTACAAAAGTATAATATGAATGCTTTCCTTCAAAGACCATACCTCTATTACCCCCTGAGGGCTGACAAAAGGAGAATGGATGCAGAAGTAGGCATTTCACCTCTTTCTGGGAATATCACTCACCTTGGGCCATTTATCAGTGCCAACTTTTGTGTCATAACGTGTTTTTCCACCTCTAGCGTCGGTAAATTCCAGATAATCATACCTGTGAAAGTATAATTTCTATCACTTTCCTTCTCTCATTCTTGATCCATTATTGCTTGGGAAAAAAGAACATGTGAGTCTTACCTTTTTTCCGTTTCACATCTCTCATCAAATTCCACCTCAAAATAGGTTGCCCCTGGGCTAACAAAGACAGACACCTCATGGCAATTATTTTCATAGTTGTGGGCAGACTCCTTAGTCCACGTGTGTAACACCACAGGCTGTTCTTGCTGCCAAGTCTCGACATCCAGCTATGCAAACAAATGAGTCAAGAAAGAAAGGTTTTCATCACTCTACATCCAGCCACGTGCAGTAAACTGTGTTTCTATATCGGTGCTCCAGACAGATAACCTTTGACACCCCTACACAAATCCTCACACAGGCTAAAAATACTGACATTCCCATCTACATACACAGACAAACATAAAGTGATCATTCAGCAGAGCAGACGTGTGGTTTTTATTGCACAATGATAACTCTGTGCTTAGCATTTATTTTCTAACTATGACAGGACTAGTTCTTACAAATCACTACTAGCATGAATTTCCAGTGGGAAAAACACTGAATTAGGAGTTTAAAGACCTTAAATTCCTATTTGAGACCTTGCCAAATCTGAGCCCATCATCTCTTCTCCCTCCTTTTTTTAAGTCTTTGCTTTTTCACTTTTAAAATTGGCTTTTTAATATATGCCCTAAATACTCCCACAGGGTGTTGTGAGACTCAGACAAGATAGCGAAAAAACTTTGTGTCCAATAAGGTTAAGTAAGGGAGAAAATTCTTTTAAATATCAAACCTTCTAATTTGCCTTTCAACATACATTTTCTCTTCTAGACTTCAATCTGGTTATTCACTAACACAGTTTTTATTTAACGACATGTGCTATAAAATGATGAAATTAATCTACGTACAGCTTCCTCTGTGTCTCCTTTCTAATGCTGACCAAGCAAAATCAATTCCGACGGGCATTTACCCTTGTTGGCAAAACCACTATTAAAATACATGGGTCTTTTAGAGGCAATTTATTTGTGTAGATCTGTACTCAGTGGTATGTTTCATTAAGTGTGGTCACATCAATCCTAAGAGGGGATACAAAGCAGGTTCAAACGCCAACTCGAGTTACCTTATTCAGTCCTCCTTCAGGGTCACTGCAAAGCTTCTTCAATAGCTCTGTTAGGGTACTGAACTCTCTCAAGAGCGTGCAGTGTGAAATGTCTAAAGTGCAAAAGTCCAGCAGAAAGATTACCTAAAGGAAGATGAATGAAGCAATTAGCATCCTCCTCAGACTCTGCCTGGGGTACAGGTCACCAAACCCCTCCCGCCATCTACAAACGGTTGCCACTTTTTCTTACCAGTTGACGAGCTGCCATCGAAAACACAGAATTACATAATTTTTCTACTATGGTTTTTCCACTATACTGTGACAAAAGGGATTCCAAAATCACTCTCATGCTTGCCAGAAACTGTCCCACATCTACAAAAACATAAAGAAAATAATTTAATACTTTATATGGTAGAAATATCACTTGCTTGATCATCATCAAGGGCAAAGCTGTTACAGAAGCTGTGGAGGGAGTTTCACATCAAAAGACAATGAGACCACAAGTGTCATACAAATGCTTTCCTCTGAGAGGGAAAAACAGTGCAAATATCAGTAAAAGATTACTTTGGGGCTGGCCCAGCAGCGCAAGCAGTTAGTTAAGCGCGCACGCTCCGCTGCGGTGGCGGCCTAGGGTTCGCCGGTTCAGATCCCGGATGCGCACCGATGCACCGCTTGTCAGGCCATGCTGTGGCAGTGTCCCATATAAAGTGGAGGAAGATGGGCATGGATGTTAGCTCAGGGCCGATCTTCCTCACCAAAAAAAAAAAAAAAAGATTACTTTGAAAGTGAGTGACTTATTCATTTTTTTGTCTTTGCTACTATTCAATGAGGTGGAGATATCACTTTTATAAGTGAAGTCACATGGTTGACCAACCCCGTTGCCAGTCGGCCTTTCCCTTTGTTTACAACGGGACCATGATTAAGTGTGCTATCCATGGGCCAAGCTTTAGGTGGCAGGGCTCCACAGTGTAAGCATTTTTGTCACAGCTGCTGAGACCAAGTTTGATGGGACTGAATTTTCCACATACGATTTCTCAAACCTACTGAGTTTCATATAATTTTCTGTGGGTTTACAGGACATGAATCTGAGTATTTTCAGTAATCAGCAAAGATCACAGCAGTGCTCATACACCTTACACTCTAAAAGTTTAAGACTTTTTTTTTGGGTGACTTGATGAAAACAAGGATGACAGACTCTACTGAAGAGTGTGACGCCATCTAGGAGTGCCGTATGATTGCAAAGGCAATGTTTAGGCTGTGAAATGGCCCACCCTCCAATAAAAATACTTAAGCATACTATCACATTCGGACAGGAAACTGGGTAGAAAGACATGCTACAGAATTCTATTTTAAGAAGAAGAGAAAAAAACAACCCAAAGACAGACCTGATTTGTATCAAAGAAAAGAAAATCATAAGCACACTCTATGCATGAGGTACTAAGGAAAAGAGTACCCACACAGATTCAAAACCCAAACACCTGTTTTCACGGATTTTGTTCTGAAACTCACATTTTTCAATAAGGTCGACGGCAAGATCTTTGGCTCCAGAGTCCGTGCTCTTCAGCTGCAGGTAGCACCAGGAGAGCAGGCTGCCCTGGACAGACCAGAACAGCGAGAAGAGCACAGAGTGAATCTCCCCTTGTGCCCCATCGAGCATCAACAGCTCACACTGCAAGAGAGGAGACAAATAGAAGTGTTTACAACAAGGTCATTCACAGGACACAGCCAAGGGCATTCTTTAAGAGAGCAGCTGTCACTGGCAAAAAAATTCTAGGGAAATGAGGAATAGCCAGGAAAGAGCTTTCAACCCATAAGTGACCAAGAAAGATGGTATTATGAAACCTCCTCTCCTGCCCTCAGCTTTTCAGAACCTTTACAAATGGTTTTTACTCCATATGTCATCTCCTTCTGCCCCTCAGGAACCTTATCCCACCGATCATCTCTTTTCTCTCTTATATCTTCAAATCCCTCTTCTCTCTGGCTCCTTCCCCTGAGCCTTCAATCAAATCTCCCCCATCTTAAAAAACAATCCTTCATCCCTCTATGGCTCTCTAACCCATCAGCTTTATTCTCTGGAGTTTCTCTGAAGAGTCACCTGATCTCTAGGGCTAAACTCTTATACCTAAGAACCACAAGATATGTTCATATCATAACTGCCGTATAATTGCCCCAAACTGGAAACAGCCCAACTCTCTCTCCAAAGTAAAATGGAGAAATAAATTGCAGCATATTCATAAAGGGAATATTGTGTGCCAGTGAAAACAAATAAACTGTAGCACATACATCAACATGGATGAAACTCAAAAATGCCACTGAGTGAAAAAAACATGTCACAGAATTGTCCCCTCACTCATTTGCAGGAGCTGGTTGATTAGCAGCCAAGGCAGCTGGGAAACCTTTGTGCTCCTTTGTAACGGTCACAGGAACAAAGTTACATTCATATTGTAAATGAGGACTAAAAGGGGAGGCACAGTGACTGCTGTATCACATGCTCCTAAAAGCAAGAGGCAAAGACAACAGGGAGCAGCCATCAGTTACCTCTCGAGCAGCAACAGAGAGGAGAGTACTCATGACCGCCAGTACTTCACTGATGTTCAGGTTGGCCAGGTCGCCTTTCTCAGGTAAAAGCAGAAGGCCCCCTGGATCCTTATCACTGAAAGGACACAAATTAGTCATGACACCTTGTTTCAGGAAGGGGATTTTCATGCTTTCTATCTTAAAAGGTTCCAAAGATTTCAAAGTCAGTTCTACGGAACGTGAGGAGTTTGGGTCAGGAGAAAGGCCATGGTCCCAGCTGGGTCTGTGCCACTGTCTGTCCACATGTCCTTACGTAAGCACAGGCCCATACATCCTCAAGTCCTTAGAAGAGATTCTGAGGAATAAATCCCCTTGACCACCAATAGGAAATACACCTAATCTCATGACTGCTAATTTGACAATGCAGGCTAAACATTCCCTGTGTCTTCAAATGTTCTTCACATGACAGCCCCAGCCTCTTTCACCACCATCTCCAATACTCACTTCTGAACACATTTCATAGAGCCCTCTAAATCTGGCATCCAGACCAGGTATAATCTGACTTTCAGACAGTAGCTTGGGCTATTCCCAAGGAGGGCTCCTTCCCTCCTTCAAGAGTCTGTACCTCCAATAATGCAACCTATAGGCCCATTAGCTTCTTTGTAGTCAAAGCATGTAAAAATCTCCAAGTTATCCCCTCCCAGCACACTTCTTTTGCTAAACTACCATTCTGTGCTTCTGCAGTTGGGTTTTAATGTAATTGGGTTTTTAGAGTTGAGTACTGGACCCCAAACTCCTTTGGCTCCAGTTTTTGTCTTCAAAAAAAATCACTTAGAAACTGAAGTGTTCAAAGAGACCCCCAATGGGTTCAACTCTCGATTGTCTTATAATGACTGGGACTTGGATTAAGCTCTTGACAAGATTTTTATTCTACCACTATTTTAGTGACTCCTGTGACTACAGAAACTTGGCTGAGCAGAGGGAAGTTACTTGATTCTCCACAAGAACGTGAAAGGAAAGGATAGCTAAAGAAAACAACTTTGCAAAGATGTGAAATATCGGACAACTGAAAAGAATTAAAAACTTACCTGAAATATGTGCACAGTGAGCGGAAAGTGAGCTGCAAGGACTGCTTGTGTTCCTGCTCAGTGACATTCCTCTAGAAAACAAGAAACTTCACATTCAGAAAATCTATTCTATGACATTCCAGACACCGAGAACTGCATGAAATGCCACTGCCCACTGTTGCAAGCATGAGGAAAGCCGAGGTCAGCAGACCACCTCCCAGCATCCAACTAAGACCTGGCTTAGTGCTAAGAGGGAGCAGAACCACCCATCTAAACAGAAGATGGCAAGTTTACTTTTGTTTACTGCTAAAGTTAACATCTTCAAGTTCTCCTGCAGGAAAGCTTAATGCAAATGTTTAGGCAGATGATCTCCAAAAGATGTACGCTTTTCATCACTGGGCATGCCATCACAAGAGGAAAGGGCACGGACAGAGTACATTTCTTGTGAGCATTCTGCTCACTTTTAAATAGGATCTAAGGGGCCGGCCCCGTGGCTTGGTGGTTAAGTGAGCGCGCTCCACTGCTGGCGACCCGGGTTCGGATCCCGGGCTCGCACCGACGCGCTGCTTCTCCGGCCATGCTGAGGCCGCGTCCCGCATGCAGCAACTAGAAGGCTGTGCAGCTATGACACACAACTATCTACTGGGGCTTTGGGGGGAAAAAATAAATAAATAAAATCTTTAAATAGGATCTAAGCTTTCTCTATATAAGCCAGAACAGCCTATGGTGACAGTTATAGGAATCACATCCCCTGATGGGGCACTTTTTTTCCTTAATTCAATAAATGTATTGAACACCTGCTGCTACACATGACACTGAGGGGGATTTCCAGAAGTTTTAAAACCCAGGGCCCTGCCTGGCACAAAGGGGTGGGAGAGATAAGATATGGTCACAAATGACAGCAGTGCTGTTTAATCCACCAGCACGAGAAGGGAAAATATAACCTTTACCACTGCTGTCAGAGGGATGGGCAAAGGGAAAGTGACTGGGCTGCTCTGCTAATAGACAGCAATGTCATTCAAGAGGTCACATGTCCTGTTTCTATTTTTCTATGTGGGACACATGCTAGCAAAAAAATCATTTGCTTAACTGCCTGGTAAACGCTTCCAGAGTCCTGCTCACAGTCCAGTGGGTCAGGTCAGCTGATGCTGTCAAAGGCTGTAACTCACAATGTGAAAACGGGTCCCTCAAGCTGATACGCAAATTTTGCAGACAGCTGAAATACAACCCCAGATCCGTCCTCCTCTCTGAAACCTTCCTCACTGAGCCTCAACGTGATTCTCCTCTGAACGCCCCCTGCACATGGGACCAGTTTTTCCTGTGGCAAGTGTTCCCACCTGGATTGCAGTCCTTTGACACCAGGGACCACATTTTATGCTTCTTTTGTTCCTCCTTTATTTCTACAGGCCTTTATGCATCCTACAGAGCACTTTTACTACATTTGCTAATTAGTTGCTGCATACAGAAAGGTCTTTTTAAAATGCTGTATCTAGTTTTCTTCATCAAACTCTTACTAGTAATTTTATTAGCTGCTTATCTACACAGACAATAAAAAAGAATCTATAACCATATCATCTATAAATTATTATTATTTTTCTTTCCAATTCCTATTTTTAAAATTTTTTACTGTGTCCTTATAGCACTAGCTAGCCTGTCTAATACATCTGGGAAACTGAAAGTGACAAGATGTTCAGAGAAAACAAAGACTAATAAATTTTATCCTAATAAACTTAAGAAATAGAATCCATACAGTTAAGGTAACTAATTACCATCATGGTGAAGAGATGGTTCCGCCGGGTCTGTCGATCAGGAAAGAAGATGGCAGCCCCATTGAGAAGAGTATTTCTAACTTCTTGTTTTAATATTTCCATAGGCACAGAGTCTCCATCCACCCTATCCACCACTGATAAAAATAAACAATGGAAGTGACTTCAATATATTCCATCCATTCACTTTCAGTATATATACAGTATCTGCTTTAACTAGCCTATAAACTCACTACTCTCCATTTTGTAGTTAACACCAGGGCAAAGAAATATTTCTGTATAGGCTAGGCAGTGTAAGGAAATTATTTTTTGTTTGTTTGTTCACATTAAAATAAAGACTATATGTATCAGTTTTTATTTATTTCCCTGTTCTTTTGAGATACAACTTGCAAAGCCTTAAAAATAACTTCAGATGATCATATGTGTTTTATTCGCAATTTATTATGCAATTTCTCCCCCTCAATCTATCAGCCTCATCCCAGTGACTTAGCTGAAGACTGAATAGTGTGATAATAATTGCTCTCAATATAACACAACTGTATATCAGACAGCAGGAGGAAGTTGTTGATGAGGAAATAAATGCTGAACTCAAAATAATGATTCAAAAGAGGATCAAGGGAAACGCTCATTTTCCAAAGAAGCAATCCCTTTCCTGGGCTTGCACGATCACAGGATCCCCTGTTCTCCACAGCAAGAGCTCCTGCAGGCTACCAGCACAGGGTCACATTAAAGGAAAAACCCCAATCCCTACCATCACACAAGTGTGTGTAGAGCTCCTTGGCAGCCTCCACTCCCCCAGGGCTCGGACGTCGAGCCTTTGCATCCTCAGAGGCAGTCGGCGCGTCTCCCTGCAGCACCGAGAAACAGCTCTGGAGGAGCTGCAGAAGCAGGGTTTGGGCACAGATGCATTCTTCCCTTGAGCTACAGAAAGATAACGAACATCAGAGAGCAAAAAGGCAAGCTGCTTTTACCCTCCAAAGCCAAACAGCTGTCTACAAAGGACTCTCCTCTAGGCATCAGGGTTGGTAAAAAGAACGCCAACCAAGAGGAAGGAAAGCGGAACGGGAAGAACACTGTACCACAGAGTCTGAAAATACAGACCCCATCTGACTTCGCCTACTGCGGGGCAAGGAAATGCATTTCTGATCCTGTCTCTTCATCTGTAAAATGAGGATACTACTATAATACTTGACCTGCTCAGCCCACAAGGTTGTAATGATAATCAAATGAGAAAACATTCATGAAAATATTGCCCAAATAAGTATTTTATAGAAATGTGTTATTTCCATAACATATTATTTTATTTGTTATTTCTATTTCTAGGTGTTATTTCCCATAATAACCAAATCTTTCAAATCAGAACAATATAAACCAGTGGAAAGTAAAGAATCTTAGAAGAAAAAAATTGTCCATTTAGAAAGCAAAACTCAGTGTTTTCAGCTGCGTTTATATGATTATCACCTTGTAACAAATTCTGACCTACTTTTGCTTTAATTTACTGTAAAAATTCCAGAAGATCTGCAAATCGAGACCCGCGAAGTCCAGAAAAGATTTATATTTTAAGCCACTTTCCTTCTGCTGCACCTAAAAAATTATAAAGACCAGAAAAAATAAAATTGAAAAATGCATTTAGAGCAATACTGTAATGGCTCATTTACTTCTCATTGTTAAGGGACTGGGTGGCTCCACATGGGTAAAATTCCCCTATACCTGATGCTTACCCTTAACTACTAAAAAGTCCATGAACAACTACTTTTGGTGTGATACTTTCTAAAATATATATTATTATATATAGTGTATGTGTGTGTATGTGCAAATGAATGTAAATGTATATATACATATAACACACACACACATCCAGGAAGGCTCCCTGACTTCATAAACACCACACCCGGAACACAAGCGAGTCTCTCCGCGATAGTGATCACCCTCCAGCACTATGCTGCAGTATGTTTTGACCACTCCCTGCATACAGGCTGAAAGATCAATTCTGGTATAAATGCTCCTGTTGCTCCTAAGCATCTCCCGCTCATTTGCTATTTTCTGCTGTAACAGGAGAGCTTGAATAGCAAAGACCAAACTAACCACATATAAACTGAGTCAGCAGCTTCCGAATGTGCCCTGAAGCAGAATGAGGGTCAGGAGGGGACACTGTGGCACACCACACACGAGAGGGTTCTAGCAGATTCCGGAGGTAAGCCATGTTCTCTACAGTGATGGCTGTAAGAATCTTCCTTTGAGTAAGTTGTCACTATGTTTTTATTAGTGACTGTAGAAGTCAGTATCAAAAACACAAATGATTTCAAATCCTGACATTATTTTGGTACTTTTAGTAAACACACAGAGTTCACCTACACTTCAGGAATAATTTTCTTAGGACTTAAAGAAGACATAAATCCCATAAACTTGCTTTGTCTCTCCAGTCTACCAGCGGCAATCACAGCTGGGAATCTTTAAGATCTGTCTGTAGGTCTATTCCAAGAAACCTCACAACGATGGCATATGCCACTTAGTCTTTCACTGACTGATGCCATCAATGCCCCACATCTCACTCCCTTTGGCCTTCTAATATCATCACAGCAGTATGACGCCTGCCATACTCATTCACACCGCATGGCTTCAGCAGGACCAGGGTTCACTGGTTGGTGTTCATTTCCCTGAATACTGTCACTTATTTTTCCCAAAGGAACGAGATCTAACAATGAGGAAACACTACCAGGTCATGGGCGAGCTGCTGGATGAACTGAAGGGTCCTGAGGAGCAGAGTGGCCCCACAGACACTCTCTTCCGTGTCCTTTCTGCATTGAGCACAGACGATGCTCTGTTCTGCTTCTGTTCTCGCAGGCCGGAGGTACCCACTGACGCTCAACCCTTGTACTCCCAAGCGCTCTGCCGACTCCTGTCGGGTGCAGAGGAACTTCACCATCAAATACTAGAAAGGACAAGAGAGATTTAAGGAGAAGGACTCAGAATCCCTGGATATTGAAGAAAGGGAGATAAAGGCTTTTCTGGGAAGCTCCTCCTGTGACTTTAATAATATATTAGGTACCACTATTCCTGGTATTGGGGATACAAAATATAAGTCCAGCACCTACAAAAAACAGAAAGAAGACAATACAAATGCTGGGTGAAATCAGGTTTGAGGAAAGACCACAATAAGAGAATCTGCATCACTCCCTCTTCAAGGCAAAAACAGGATAAGAGAGGATAAATAGGAATAGTATACTGGCTCTGTGGCACAGCCATTTTGAAAGTGAAATCAGATATATGGTGAAAACAGTCAACGCTCCAAGGAATCATCTCAAATCCCCCAAATGATATACAAAACCCACGAGCTGGGAGCCCAGGACACAGACTGATCTGTGCAAAGCTAAAACCATTTCAAAGCCCAACTTCCGTGCAAACTATCTGCTTCTTACAGTGAAAGCTCCTTTGTCAAGGGCCTTTCAGAATTCACTACTCAATTGCAAAACTGTTTACTGAGCACCTACTATGTATAAGCCCTAAAGATAGTTCCTATTTCTCTTATTTAAGCTTCTTACTAAGATTTACACGAGAAGTTAAAAAAGATTAAGAAGCCAGATATAATCACTGTTCCTTTCATAGCCATGGAAACATATCTCTCTTGCATTGATGCCTGTGTACTTGCTGTTCTCTCAGCCCGAGAATCCCCTCTCCACACATCTTTTTTTTTTTTTTTTTTGCGAGGAGATCAGCCCCGTGCTAACATCTGCCAATCCTCCTCTTTTTGCTGAGGAAGACTGGCCCTGGGGTAACATCCGTGCCCATCTTCCTCCACTTTATATGGGACGCCACCACAGCATGTCTTGCCAAGCAGTGTGTCGGTGCGCGCCCAGGATCCGAACCGGTGAACCCCGGGCCGCCGCAGCAGAGCGCACACACTTAACCGCTTGTGCCACTGGGCCGGCCCCTCTGCACACAGCTTAGCCTGGCTAAAGATGGCTTAATCAACTTCCAACACTTGGCATCACACCACCTTTCCTGGGAAGCCTTCCCTAGTGAATTCCAGGCTAGCTTAGATAGTCTTCCTCTGGGCCACAACAGTCCCCTGTATATCCCCCTTTATCACAGCCCACATCACAGTGTCTTATACATCTGGGTCTCTCACTAGACTATGAAATCTCTGAGGGTCACAATCATGTCTGATTCACCTCCAGGATTCCAGTGTTGGCCCAGGGCTGATACACAATACCCCCTAATCAACACTTACAGAATAAAAGGAGGGGAGTGGGCAAATACGTGACAGCCACAACTCACTAATGCTTACTTTGGCAACTCTGCACTGTTGCAACTTGAAATCTGCTTCATCCCACTCTTCTTCCAGCTCAAACCAGCCAATAGGATCATCCTCTCCAAGGTCATCAGGTGAGCAACCAATCCTGTAAACACAAGGGTAATCACAAAACATTTTCCTATTTCTAAACTTCTCAAGGGTCTAACGAATAAGGCACCATCTAAGTGGCATTTAACTTCTATATGTGGCCTGTTAATTAACAATTGAGGACTGGGTGTGGCACGTGGTGACTCTTTGAACATATCAGGTGGTTGGAGGTAATTTTCTCTCTATTTCTCAGCCTCCTCATCTGTGAAATGGGATCTATTACCAGTCCCAAATACAACCTGAGAAGGAGAAAGTTTGTTTCTCTAGATAATTGGCTTATCTGAAGAATGAGACAGGAAGTCAAGGCATCTTAGATGAGCTCTTCAGGAGTAAGGTACACTGCAACAGCTGGTGTGTGCTTCTGGAAAGATCTAAAAGAGAGGCAGGTTTAGTTTTCTTCCCCTAGGTCTGGCTAATGTATGTACGACCAGCCTGACGTATGGGCCACTTGCCACAGCTGAAGGGTAAAAGCCGGGAGCATTCAGATCCTGGAGCTCCAAAAAAGGATGACTTCAGCCTTCACAGGCCTTGGTATTCTTTCCTATTTCTTAAGAAGTCCTTCCAGGAAACCATTTCAGCCTCGAGGCTGAAGAAGCACAGCTGTGTGCCACTTCTTTTTAAAAACTGGATACTTGAATGGTACTCTCTTTTCAGGAATTAGATAACTAACAAGGAGAAAAGGGCAGTCTTTTCAAGTAACATCCCTAAAACTTTATACGATTTAGTCAGTGATACAGCTAACAAGGTAGCAACACATGAGGATTCTGTATGGATAAGATAAGCAAACACAGGGAATAATGGCAAGAAGAGGAAAAAGACAAAAGACCCAGAGTAGGTTCTATAACAGAGAAAAAAATGTTTCTTCTTAACCTAAGTCTTTCTTAGCATAAACCTTTCATGATATAGTTAACCCTAAAATGAATGGGACAGATGGTATTCTATCTTAGACGAAAACCATGTCAATGAGTTTCATAAATATTGTGTGTTTAAGAAATTTTTAATTCAACCTTGGGAAGTCATCAAGGAAATCTTTGAGATATATAGAGAGCTGGCAGGGTGTCAGAGAGCAGAGAGAAGCAATCTCGTTCACTACATCACAGAGCAGGCAGGTGGAGAAAAGAGAGCTGAATATTAGTCCTCCTAAGAGCACAGCAACCAGCTAGCCCTGGAGCGTGCTGACTGACCAAGGTCTGACTAGAGGGACAGGGAAAAAAAAAAAAAGGCAAGAAGATAGATGTATGCACATTAACATTTTGATTTCCAAACTGGAGAGGGACTGATAATATGTAGGCCAATCAAATTGGATTTCAGAGCAGTTCAGGCTGAAACCAGGAGCTAAAATCAAAAGGCAGTAGTGAATAGGCTTGCGTTTAGGTTAAAAAAAATCATCCTATGTAAGATGTGAAGGATCTTGTTTGACAGCAGATTTAGGGAAAAGGACCTATTTTAATACGTCCCAAGACTGGGCTATAGCTGCTTAAAAACAAATGTAATCTCTAATCAATATTAAAAAAGAAAAGCATCTTTAAAAAGGGCATATGTGTCTGATGGGAGGGAGATTTGTTCTAATTCATTTAGAGGGCTGAAATAAGACCACTGAGTTGAAATTACAAATGTAGATTTCGGGCCGGCCCCGTGGCTTAGCGGTTAAGTGCGTGTGCTCCACTACTGGCGGCCCGGGTTCGGATTCCGGGCGCGCACCAACGCACCGCTTCTCCGGCCATGCTGAGGCCGCATCCCACACACAGCAACTAGAAGGATGTGCAACTGTGACATACAACTATTCCTGGGGCTTTGGGGAAAAAAAGGAGGAGGACTGACAATAGATGTTAGCTCAGAGCCGGTCTTCCTCAGCAAAAAGAGGAGGATTAGCATGGATGTTAGCTCAGGGCTGATCTTTCTCACAAAAAAAAAAAAAAGTAGGTTTCAACTGACCATATTCTAATAACTGAAGTGCCTTAATATGCAGTGAGTTCTCCATCACTAAGAGTATTCTAGAGAGGCTGACAAACCATTTGTCAGGGATACCACTAAAGGAAGTCCAGTAGAGGGAGGGAGTTATTCTAGATCCATGCTATTCCAAGTGTGGTCCATGGATGGGGAGCATCAGGGTTGCCTGGGAGCTTTTTAGAAATGAAAGTCTCAGGCCCCATCCAGAAATACTGAATCAGAATCCACATTTTAACACAATCCCTGGTAATTTGTATGCACATTAAAGCTTAGTAGTGCAGTACTGGATGATAGTTACAGGTTTCTGTTAACTCCAGCAATCCAATGCCTTGAAATACAGCATAAACAGCAAGTCTAGGGTTCAGCTCCATGAGTTTTAACTTGCTACTAGTAATAAGGGAGGCAACACTGCCCAAGGGTCACCAACGACCTCTGAGGCTAAATCCAACAGGTCCGCTCCTAGACTTGATCTTATTGGTTCCAGGAAATACAGGACACCCCGCCTACTCCCTCCTCCTTTAAATTTTTTAAATTTTTATTTATTTATTTTTTTCCCCCAAAGCCCCAGCAGATAGTTGTATGTCATAGCTGCACATCTTTCTAGTTGCTGTATGTAGGACGCGGCCTCAGCATGGCCGGAGAAGCGGTGCGTCGGTGCACGCCCGGGATCTGAACCCGGGCCGCCAGCAGCGGAGCGCACGCCCTTAACGGCCAAGCCACGGGGCCGGCCCTCCCTCCTCCTTTAAACATTATTTTCTCTTAGCTTCACGATGACACATTCTTGGCTTTCCTGCCGCTTCTCTGGCTGTTTTTCTCAGCCTCCTTTTCTCTGTTGCCCCTTAAATTCTGGTACCTCCCATCACGTTGACCAAGGTCTCTTCTCTTCCCAGCCCACACATTCTTCCAGAATGATCTCTTCTATTCTATTTTAAATTATTATCTAAATGTCTCTCATATCTGTACCTTCAGCACAAACTTTTCTTCCAGGCTCCTAATCTGTTCATCCAATTAGCTATTGGATATCTCACAGGCTTCCTAGAACCTCAAACTCAACAGGACCAAAACTGAACTCATCATTATGGAAGAATCCCGCAAATCTGTTTTTCTCAGGCTATTTTCTATCTCAGAGAAAGGCACTACCAATGTCCCCAGCTGCCTGAGCCAAAAACCCAGGACTCATTGACACCTAAGCTTTCTTCCCTCTCCTACTCTACATCCAGTCACCCACCAGGTCCTGTTGCTTCCACCTTCTATTTATCTCTTACATTGGTCCACGCCTCTCCATCGCTGCTGTTGTTGCTCTTATTGAGGTCATCCCCACCTCTGGCTTCCTGGGTGATAGTCACAGCCTCATCCCATTTCATCCTGCCTCCATGCTTGCTCTCCTCCAATCCATGCTACATTCTGCATGATCCACAGTAGTCCTTCTAAAACACACATCTGATCTCCTCATTCTTCTTCTTGAAACTCCTCAATAACACACTCTACCCTATTCCCTGCCTACCCTTCCACTGCTTTAAAGATAAAGTCTACACCCTGAAACAGAGACAAAAAGATCTTTAATGACCTGGCCCTTTCTAGCTCTCCAGCCTCATCTCTCACCACTGTCCACCTCACAGTATACCTCAGCAATAAGGGACTTATCAGTTCCTTGAATCTGTCATACTTCACCTCTGAGTGCTGATATCTGCTCTTCTCTTTGCTCAGGATACTCCTTTCACTTCTTCAAGTGGCTAATTAACTCTAACTCATCCTTTAGTTTTCACCATAAACAATACTTCCTCCAGGAAGCCATCCCTGATCAGATAAGGTCATCTGCCGTGTGCTCCCAGAACACCTTATCTCTCCTACCTAGCATTTATAACACTGTGACACTGAAAGTTTTATCATCTGTCTTCTGAGCTAAACAGTAAGCTCTATAGAGCAGGGACTGTGCCAATTTTCTCACTACAGTATATTCAGTGCCTAGCATCAGGCCTAGCACACAGTAGGTGCTTAATAAGTATTTTCAAGAAAAGCATAAATAGAAGGAGGGAGGTTGGGGCAGGGGTCAATTTCCCAGTGGCTAAGTAAGACTGAAGATCTCAGGCTGCCCACAGTTCAGTTGGGTATCATTACCCAACCATGTTGAAGATGTGTACGCCTAGTCACAGAAGGGACTGAGTAATAGTCTACAAACAAATTAACATACATGTCTTCAAATATGCTGTTAGAAAGCAATGAATGCTCATGGCCACTGAGGAGGGGTTAGTGGCACCTTTTCTATAAAGACAAGAAAGCATATTTCACCAATAAGAGAATGTATACAAACTTATTAACTACAAAGATTTTTATTCTTCTCCTTACCTGCTTTTTACAAATTGCCTGAACTCCTGAAGCTTCCATTTGTCATATTTTTCAAACCTTTTGAAGTGTTCTTCTGCATGAAATTTATCAGATGATGAGTTATAGGCAAACACCAACCCACACTGGGCACCAATGCCGCCACGCCGAACCTGGAAACAGAGATCTGGATAAAGTACCCCAAAAGAGCAAAAGTTCTGTGACTGCTTTGTTTCCAAAGAATATGGTTAAATTCAAATAGCTTGAAGCAAAATCAAACCCATGAAATGATATTTTAAATACATTAAGTCTTGGGGCCGGCCCCGTGGCTTAGCGGTTAAGTGTGTGCGCTCCGATGCTGGCAGCCCGGGTTCGGCTCCCAGGTGCGCACCGACGCACCGCTTCTCTGGCCATGCTGAGGCCACATCCCACATACAGCAACTAGAAGGATGTGCAGCTATGACATACAACTATCTACTGGGGCTTTGGGGGAAAAATAAATAAATAAAAATTAAAAAAAAAAAAATACATTAAGTCTTGGAAAAGTAAAAAAGCTTCTTTCCAAGAAATGATTCCTTACCTTTCTCAATCCTTATATTCACACAATTCATAGACTGAACAATAGACTTAACAATCTATTCCTCTTTGTGACCCTGTCCTCTGCTACAGGCCTGACACAGAGTAAATAATCATTAAATGTTCAATAAAAAAGCAATGACGTGGACCTCTGAAATGTAATCTTATTAAAACAAAAAAAAAGTAGTAACATTGCTTAAAGAAGGTAGCATGAGAATTACCATAATTCTGATCTTTGTAACTTGAAAGGCAGATTCAGATCCTGTAGAAAAAATAATACTTGCTCTGGTTTTTCCAGTCTCTGTAAGAAAACCTGAAAAAAGGAAAAACTAAAGTTAGGATGACTGACTCATTTGTTATAACCCTAAGAACTAAGATAACAAAAACAAACTGTATCCTTTGAGGCAGGGGGTAACTAGTCTATCTGGTACTTCTGTGAAAATTTTCAAATAAAAATCCCCACTCTGGACAGATGCAACCCCACTGCCAAATTCCTAGGTAACAGACCACTGACGAGATACAACTTCCTCAGGGCACAATCTTGTCAGCCATACAGGCAGCCCCGCCCTGGGGTAACAATAAAGGAATAAAAATTTTATAAAGACAGTGACTTTAATTCAAAGAGACAAATGACTGGATAACCAATGATATTTATGAGCCATTTCTAAAACCAGGATGATGTTTGACTGGACTGATAAAGGCAAGCAGGCTTATCAGAGAGGCTGAGACAGGGATTAGAAAGCTTCTAGAATATTGTCAGGAAAGATTGTGAAAAACTTTGAAATAGGCAAAAAAGATTACTGGGTGTTCTGTTTAGAATACTCTTTGGGTTATCTCCATGTTTCATTGTCTCTGAGCTACTTTACAACTCTCTAAGTTGTAGAATAATGACAGTAATGCAAATGACTCTTGTCCACAGAAATAAAAATTGTGTTCTATAGAAATGTAGCTGATTATTCCTTATGGACACTGACCAAGTTTGTATCTATTTGTAAATTCATTTCAGCATTCCTACTGGTCTATGAGTATTTTACAAATGCTCCTTTGAACTATTTGTAACATCTTACTGGTTTCCTCACCAATTAATGAGATAAATAAAAAGTTTGACATGTGTTCATTTTATATTTGTATGAGAGTGATGATTTACCTTTTTTGTTGTTAATTATCCTTTAATAATTCACAAAAAGGTCGTCTGCTAGACCCAAGGCTGCCTTTCTCTTTCAAATCTCAATAAATGATATAACTCACACATTTGCTCAAGTCATCACTAACTAACCATTCTTCCTGGGACCTTGAATTGCTCTCAATCATTTTGCCTTATCAAGATGAAAAGACTAAAACCAATTTCACATTTCTTATTTCATCACACTAAGTTCAATGAAATAAAAATTTGAGGGGCTGGCCCAGTGGTGTAGTAGTTAAGTTCACGTGCTCTGCTTTGGCAGCCCGGGGTTCGCAGGTTTGGATCCCGGGCACGGACCTACGCACCGTTCATCAAGCCATGCTGGGGCAGTGTCCCACATACAAAATAGAGGAAGATGGGCACAGATGTTAGCTCAGGGCTAGTCTTCCTCAGCAAAAAGAGGAAGACTAGCAACAGATGTTAGCATAGGGCCGATCTTCCTCACTAAAAAAAATAAAAATATGGGGCCGGCCCCGTGGCTTAGCGGTTAAGTGCGTGCGCTCCGCTACTGGCAGCCCGGGCTCGGATCCCAGGCGCACACCGACGCACCGCTTCTCCTGCCATGCTGAGGCCGCGTCCCACATGCAGCAACTAGAAGGACGTGCAACTATGACATACCACTATCTACTGGGGCTTTGGAGGAGGATTGGCAATAGATGTTAGCTCAGAGCCAGACTTCCTCAGCAAAAAAAAACAGGAGGATTAGCAGGGATGTTAGCTCAGGGCTGATCTTCCTCAAAAAAATAAATAAATAAAAATAAAATAAATAAAAATAAAACAATAAAAAATAAAAATTTGTGAAGCTGAATCTCCCTAATATTCAACATTTGTCACCAAAACCAAGAAAATTAAATCCAAAGGAACCTTTGTTAATTCACAGAGAGAAGCTATTATACGATCTAGTTCTATCAAACAGTAATTCTGTAGATAATTTTAAGAAATCATGTAGCCAGTAATTCACACAACTACACTAACATTAATACTAAAAACTATCCCAATTATTGAACTGTCACCTCTTCCCAGAGGTCTGGATGCCTCTAATTAAATCTATTGTAAAGGTTGAAATACTGACTAGAAGTTAACTGATTAGTCAGTACTTGTAATAAGTCTCAAAGTAGCTGAAACAATAAATTAAATCAACAGAAACGGACTCTTTTTAAATAGCATTGCCACCAAATACACATTTAAGGTTTTTTTTAAAGGCCAAAATAAATAAAGCTTAAAACGTAAAATAAAACCTTTGTGCTTCCTTTGCTTGATAACAAACCAGTTCACATGTCTAATAGTGGTATTTTAAAACTACATTTGTTTTGGGCCAGCCTGGTGGCATACTGGTTAAATGCGCGCGCTCCACTTCGGCGGCCCGAGGGTTCCCAGGGTCAGATCCTGGGCGCGCACTGACGCACCGCTTGTCAAGCCATGCTGTGGCGGCCTCCCATATAAAGTAGAAGAAGATGGGCACAGGGCCGGTCCCGTGGCTTAGCAGTTAAGTGTGCGCTCTCCACTGCTGGCGGCCCGCGGTTCGGATCCCGGGCGTGCACCGACACACCACCTCTCCGGCCATGCTGAGGCCGCGTCCCACATATAGCAACTAGAAGGATGTGCAACTATGACATACAACTATCTACTGGGGCTTTGGGGGAAAAAAATAAATAAATAAAATTATAAAAAAAAAAGAAGATGGGCACAGACGTTAGCCCAGGGCGAATCTTCCTCGGCAAAAAACAGGACTGGCATTGGATGTTAGCTTAGGGCTGATCTTCCTCACAAAAAAACAAAACAAAACAAAAAAAACACTACATTTGTTTGGACACCCGGCCCTCCCCTGACAAATTTATTCTCTTAAAATGACAGGAAAAAATATCAATCATAGATTTAAAGAATTTAATAAATCTATCCCATCAGTTCTATTGGCAGCACCCAGTATTCCTTTAAAATACCAGACCAGTAGCCATAGTTCACAGGAAGGTTAGCCCTCCAGAGTGTCAATGTTTGGGTTCTCTGGCATTTGTCCAGAACTGGTACTGCCCCGAAAATTGGGGAATTTGAACTGTACCAGTGACCAGAGCCTTTCCTCCTGAAAGAGGAAGAAACAAATCATTCTCGAAACCCAAGGACTCTGCCTGGGAGGGCTCTCCCACATCCTACTACCTCCTCAGGCTCATTTTTTGCAGTGGAGCACAGAAACTAAAACCTAACCTGACTTATAAGAAACAGACAGTGATGGGGGGGGCCAGCCCGGTGGTGTAGGGGTTAAGTTCACGTGCTCTGCTTCGGTAGCAGCTCAGGGTTTGAGGTTCGGACCCTGGTCACAGACCGACACATTGCTTGTCAAGCCATGCTGTGGAGGTGTCCCACAAAGTAGAGAAAGATGGGCATGGATGTTAGCCCAGGGCCAATCTTCCTCACCAAAAAGAGGAGGATTGGCAACCGATGTTAGCTCAGGGCTAATCTTCCTCACACACACAAAAAAAGAAACAGACAGTGGTAGTGGTGAAGGGAGGGACCAGGAGAAACTGGATCTCCTCCCCACACAGAGTCACATCCCTTCCATTTGCTTATCAGAAACACAACAAAAATAACAAATCCACAAACTACAACTAGTTTACAAAATCCATCCATCCAAGGGAGGTGGAAGGCAGGGAGGAGAGTGGGCAGATAAGATACAGGGAGAATAACAAAGTATTCAAATCAGACCAGGCATAAGAGCTGGCAGATGCTTCTAATACCTGCAGAAAAACCCATGGTCCTTTCAGACTTAAAACAGTGTTAAAAATCTATACACTGATTTTTAAGACGGTGAAAATACTCTGTATATGATAATGACAGATATATGTCCTTATATATTTGTCCAAACCCATAGAATGTACAATATCAAGAGTGAACCCTGGGCCGGCCCTGTGGCTTGGTGGTTAAGTGCGCGCGCTGCGATGCTGGTGGCCCGGGTTCGGATCCCGGGTGCGCATCGAGGCACCACTTCTCCGTTCATCCTGGGGCCGAGTCCCGCATACAGCAACTAGAAGGATGTGCAGCTACAACATACAACTATCCACTGGGGCTTTGGGGGGAAAAAAAAAAAAAAAAAAAAAATTTAAAAAAAAAAAAAAAAAAAAAAAAAAGAGTGAACCCTAAGGTAAACTATAGACTTTGGGTGATTATGATGTGTCAATGTAGATTCATCCTTGGTAAAAACCTTCTGGTGAGTGATGTGGATAATGGGGGAAGCAATACTTGTGTGGGGGCAGGAGGTATATGGTAAATCTCTGTACCTTCCTTTCAATTTTGTTGTAAACCTAAAACCACTCTAAAAAATAAAGTCTTTCAAAAAAAGAATAGATACGTGATTTGAAATAGTTATAAAAGTAAAAATAATAAGATGAAAGTGAGGCCTTTCAGTGGATAATGATAAGAGTGTAAAAAAAAATCTATATACTAGTTTCAGGAAGATTCTGCCTTACGTGTGCCAGAGACAAGAATTCTAATTCTTCAGAGAGTGAAGGAAAAATGCAGCGTGCCTTTGGCAGAGTGATCTTGTCTTTCGGGGCGGGGGGGAAGGGGAAGTGCAGGGGAGGGCAAAGAGCTGCCACGGCCTCCTCCTAACCCCATCCATCCACTTTGAATGGCAGGTAACTCAGTGGCCTACGGTGGCCTTCAGTGTGGTAGGAAATGGATGCAGTGAAGGAAACATGTCTGCAGAGGCTGAGCTGCTCAGGGAGGACTGAAGGAAGATTGCCTTGTGCTCTACAGCTTAAGAAGACTACCAAGGAGAGGAGATAAACTGGGAAAAGCACAGCCTCCCAGAGGTCTTTACTTCACTGGTGCTAAGAATGAATAGAGGAAACAGGACAGAGGAGAGGCGACCACTGAGAATGCGTGAGGACTGAACTGCTGTGAGGAAAGCCAAGGGGAACCAAATCCAAAGCAGTAAGGCCAGCTCCTTTCAATGTTTGATAATTGCTGGAACATTCCACTTCCTCTGCTGAATCAGCAATATCAAAGCAGTACAGTGAGTAGAAAGGGGACATACACAGGAGACTGCCTGACCAACAAGATGGATGAGGAAGAGACTCACATACACTCCCGGATGAGGAAAAGAACCTACCACAGGGGCCAGCCCCATGGCTTAGCGGCTAAGTGCGCGTGCTCCGCTACTGGCGGCCCGGGTTTGGATCCTGGGCACGCACCAACACACCGCTTGTCCAGCCATGCTGAGGTGGCATCCCACATACAGCAACTAGCAGGATGTGCAAGTATGACATACAGCTATCTACTGGGGCTTTGGGGAGAAAAAGGGAAAAAAAAAAAAGGGAGGAGGATTGGCAATACATGTTAGCTCAGGGCTGGTCTTCCTCAGCAAAAAGAGTAGGATTGGCATGGATGTTAGCTCAGGGCTGATCTTGCTCACAAAAAAAAAAAAAAGACTTAAAAAAAAAAGAACCTACCACAACGTTGAAGAGAGTACGTCAGCAGTTATCATGTTGACACTAGGGAAGGAGTGAGGCTTCCTCCCAGGCACTTCAAATGCCAGATCAGCCTTATCGACAAATACCCTCCTTCTTAAATTATTTTTTCAGCAGTATAGTGCTACTGACCCACTGAGTTTCTTAATACTTTAAGATAACACAATAGAAAGACAATCTGAACTTAAAAATGGTTAACTTTTTATATTCCAAGAGGAGGAGTCCTTGCTTTTCAAAACTGAAGGCTTTCAAGTACTTTTAAGTTGTTACAGGTGATTGACACCTAGCAGATTACAATGCTGTACTAAAGAAACCACAAAAATGGTTTAGGAACCACTGCCAACTGAAGGACGAACTGAAGTGAAGTTATCCTGAAATTTTCAAAATTCAAAATTTCAAAAATCACTAGAAACAGACAGATCCACCACTCACCATCCCTTGTCCATGGTTCAACAAGGAGGTTTTCAGGTCCTGACTTCTCTTCTTTTCCTTTGACATCACAGGCCTGAAGAGTCAACTGGAGAGGTTTACCTGATCAAAGAAAAGAGAGACAGAGAGCCTTAAGCTAGCGCTGTGAAAAAATAAAAACTAGCGTGCACATCAGCAGAAATGGAGTGCTTGTGGTCACCCAGACAGCTGACGAAGAATTCACCTGTGTAAACACAAAAACAGAGAAGTAATATTAGACAAAAGTTGACACCATCCATTTGTGCTTTCCTGACAGAGACAAAGTACAGCTTATGTCCTGAAGTGATTCCAAGAAGAGGTCTTTAGAATAACCACCATTCAGCTTTCAGCAACTGTGAAGCTGGGGAGATTCTGGCCAGGCCGAGGACTTCGATTCTCGCTGTCCTCACAGCCCTTCAACCCTCCCTCGAAGCCCCTCAATAAAGTGGGTTGATCCAAGGGAAAAAAAAAAAATAATAACCACTATTCAGAAACAAAGCACATTACAAGATATAGATTAATAACACAGATTCAACATATTTGAGGAAGAGGGAATTCCTAAGATACTGTTTTGGAGCCAATAATTAATTTTATTGTAATTGCATTTAAATATATAAATAATGTCTTAGGGTTTTGTGTCTTATTTCTTTAAAACACCTTCAAGCAAAATTTGAAAGTTTTAACAACTATAAAGACCAACTTTTGCTATGATGATCTGAAAGCTCTTCTTCTTTCTTTTAACAGCATAATGAATACCCATTCACCTATAATCCAACCCAGAACTAGAACATTACCAATAATAAACATTCCCCCTATGCATTCCTCCCCTATCCAGTGCTCCCTGACAAAATAACTGCTAATCTGAATTGAAGACTTTTCAGAATATTTTCCAGACACTACATATCCCTCCCATCCAGCCATGCCTGCTATAGACCCCCTACCCCTCCAAATAATGACCTTTCCAAATTTAGGGGGGAGACTGGATTTACAAGACATCAATTGTCTGACTTCAAAAACTAAACATAAAATAAATTATTAAGTCATATTAAGGCAAAGTACAAATATCATGGCAGAAATATCAAGGTAATGACTCTATTACTGAAGAGGATGGGATCCAATACTGTACTCTGTGGACAGAAACTTTAGCACTAGAGGCTGGGATTGCAAATCAGTTGCACCTCACATGCCAACTGCAGGCATCTGGCGGTAGCTATATGGCCTCCTGTGTTGAAAAGGATTAGGAGGCCTCATTCTGGGTCAGTAGAAAAGTGCTAAGATGGATTACGTTGGGCCCAGGAGGGGAGAGCAGTGGCAGGCATGTATGTATGTCCATATATGTCCTTCCAACCAGCTATCACGGGGATTCAGAGGGATGTGTTCTAAGGATCCTTTGCACCACGTCTGGGCTGGTTCCCTCCCTCCTCCAGATGAGAAATACTCCAACTCCCCAACCATCTTGGGCTACACAATGAAACACTATTGTACTTCATCAAAGTACAATGGCTGTGATCAAACGGCCACCAAGCCTAACTGATTAGGTCAGTAAGTCCTGGGAGTACAGCCTAGTGGACACCCAGGTCCCCTTCTGCTGATGCTGCCATAAATGAACCAGTATCCCCCTTCTCCCTACCATAGCCAGCCAAAGAGGCTATGTTCACGCAGGAATCATGGTATAACCACAACAACCCAGTCCACAAAAACTACCCAAAAAGATAAGAAGATGCCATGGGGCCAGCCCTGTGGCGTAGCAGTTAAGTGCACGTGCTCCACTGCTGGCAGCCCAGGCTTGGATCCCGGGCGCGCACCGATGCACCGCTTGTCAGGCCATGCTGCGGCGACCCATATAAAGTGGAGGAAGATGGGCACAGAGGTTAGCCCAGGGCCAGTCTTCCTCAGCAAAAAGAGGAGGATTGGCAGATGTTAGCTCACGGCTGATCTTCCTCACAAAACAAAAAGAAGATGCCAGTATGTCCCATGTTGATGATAGTTTTACGACTTGTCCATCATTTACCATATTTAAGGAGCAGGTTCTGCCTGACTGACGCCATGGATGAGATGAGGGATGAGGCATCATAGTGTGTGTCCAGGTGGTCAGTGATGGTGCACAGAGAGCTCAGCACTTTGGCAACACTTCCTCTTGCTAGTGCGAAAGCCAGAAGAGTCAGCTCCACCTTTGGAGCAGAACAGCAGCTAAAAACAAAGAGCAAAAAACTTTTCACTTCTTAAAAACATGAGAAAATCCAGGTAGCTCCAACACCATGTAACTGATCACCATAAGTAAGATCAACCTACCATATGCCCTCTCTATGTTTACCAGAGATACTTTTTCAAAATCCTTTGAAAAACTAAATCAACCCACAGGACCAGGAAATTAAATCCTCACTTTTGTAACCTTAATCTATTATTAAATAATACTAATAATGTCAATGCTAACAAGTCAAACTTTATAAACCAAAACTAAATAAGCTGCCGCAATAAGCCTCTGCTATTAAGAAGCCTTGGATAATGATTTGGCTTGGCCAGAGAGTTAAGGGTTTACTCCTTCAAGCACCAAAAATGTATTTTAGATCTACTCCACATTGCACTTCTCTGCCTTTTTTAACACATTACACTGAAACTTTTAAACATGTCTAGACGGCTCAGGGCCTGGTTTGCACTCTAATGCAGTAAGGTCCTCTGGGCTCACTGAGACAGAGCTAAGGGTCCCTACACTAAGCAACCCCTCTACCAAGCTTTCAAGGTGCCCTTTCCCAGGTCAACGGATAATCAGGCCTGTTAGACCTGGGCAAAGAGGTAAGCAGGTGCTGAGTAAGGCCACGGCTGAGGATATGCATGATCTGAGAGGCTTTGCATTTTGGACTTTTTGAGCTATCTGTTCTAGCTGAATCAGAGGACTACTCCCCACTCGCCCCCAACTCATGAGGTCAGGTGATATCGCTAGATAATGCAGTTTAGGTGGGTAAACTATTATTTCACTTTCTCTTCAGTCTCTAAAGATGAATCATTTTTAGTTCTGATCTTTAAAGGATTAAAAATTTTTTTTAAAAAAAGACTTACCAAGCATAAATGTCCTCCAACCCCCACAAACCCCAACTTATCCATCTTGATTTTACCTAGTGATCCTTATGAGGAAGCTGTCCACTTCTTCCAGAACATTGGGAGACAGGAAAGTCGAGAAATCTGTAGATCCTGGTGAGAGGGACAGTGGAGGCATGTGCTGCAGTGCCTTCCTAGAAGTGCAAATTGTAAGATCAGAACAACCCAGGCAAAAATAAATTTAATGATATAACATTAGACAAAAAATAAATTGCCAGAAGGTTCTTTTGATTAATCCCTTATAAACAAACAGACAGTGTTCCTACAGAGAACCTGGCACACAATATAAACCAGGCTTTTTTCCTCAGGAGTCATGGTGCTAAGTAGTTTAATGGAGTTTCTTTCTTGCTTTTTTTCCTTTCTTTTGAGAGTTCCATGTCCCTGTGTAAAAGCTTATCCAACTCTCTGGAATCAAGTATTCATTTTAAGTAGCATGAGCAAAAGACACACATACTCTACAGAAAAACCCTGGAGTTCTTAGAAAACTTGACCCCAGAGACAGAGCAGTGTGTGGCACAGTAAAAAATTAATTTCACACATACAGTCTTAAGATCTATGGTATCTGAAGATGCATCATGAATTTTAGTTTCTCCTAAACACAATGGTCCCCGTCACTTTCTCTATTCCTGCCTGTGTTTCCTGGCCTTTCTACCTTCATGTCTGCTTTAATGTTGCTCTTTTCTTATCTCCTTTTACGTTTATCTTTCGGATTCTCCCAACGGTTTTACCTCTTCTGAACTAGCAGTCATCTAAGAAATGTATGCAACCAATAATTACTGAGTCAGCAACTGTGCTAGGTGAGTGAGTATACCATGAACAACTTGAAGGTATTTATAAGTGTGTCAAAAAATAGCTCAAACTTCCATGTTTGATAGTCATTTTATAACAGTAATGAGAATCTCTGAAACAATTTTATTTCTACATTTCAAAATAGAGACAATACAGCAAGGCTAACATTTTGTCAGCTTCCAGTCTGCTCTCATTTCTTTTTCCCTGTATACAACAAGCTGCATCAGCATGGCAGCCACATGAGGTCTAACACACTTGAGTGGCATGCAATAATTTACCAAACTTATTTCCACTGATACAAGTAAACAATTTTGTTTCAAAATATTCTTTTTCTTACTTATTTTTCTTCATTGATCTTTTTTCCAATAATTTTTAAATTTTAGAATAGTTTTAGATCCCTGGTATTTAAAAGTTAGAGTGAAAATATCATTGTAGGTTACCTATTACAACTGTTTAGGGATATAAACTTTAAATATATCCATTCTTCAAACAACTTGGCAAGTCTTCACAAAAGTAAGGTTGAAAGGTTTCCTCTTCCCCTTCCTAAAAATTCAGTCCATACAGTGGGGCCGTGCAAGGCAGGCACCAATGTGTGCTTGGGTGAGTGGCCCAGAGTGGGGTACTGAGCAGGGTGAGAAAGGCATCTGCACCAAGGGACAGCCTGGAATAGAATGTTAGCACTAAGTAGGGTGAGGAGGGGGGCCTGGCACCGAGCAAGGGAACTCAAGGATCACAAGAAGGGCATCTGTACGTGGGCAGCCACAGCAGCAGCTCTGCAAAAGGTACTGGGGTGGGAGTTGGATGAGGAGGGTGTCCAGACAAGGGCAGGGGAGATGGGAGACTGGTATACAGAGGGGATTGATTAAATAAGTAAATATATTAGGGATGATGGGAGCCAGGTTTCTCACTGTCAGAGAAAGGAGTTACAAATACAGAAAGGGAGAAAACTAAAATGAACACTGTAGTGTTAGATTAGAATTGGAAGTACTGGTGTAAACTCAGAGTTTTCAGTATTACAGATTTAGAAATAAATAAAGGTGTAAATGTGTGTATGCATACACGTGTGGGTATTATTTATATACAAACACATATTTCCCAGCTGTATCCAGGGAGAGGGTCTGCGAGAAGCAACACCCCAACAGCAATGAGTTTAGTTTGTTTAGTTTCTAAATACCATTCTCTACTAAAAGGGACCATGACACCTTAGAAAAATGGCTGATTTCCAGGAGTAAGGCAAGGAACATTCAAGATAAGCCTGGAATATCTTGTTGTTCTAGAAAGTAAGGAAGTGTTCCAAGAATGATGTTAAAAGGATACATGAACCAGACTGAAGGGATTCCCAATGGCCAAACCTGGGACAATCTGAACATCAACACTGTGATGGCTTATAACCCAGTGAATAAAATAGGAATCCAGGAGTCCATACCAATATAAAGTTTGATGAGGAATGGGATATTTACATAGTCTCAAAGTACTTCCTCACAAAATCCTTATTAATTACAAAGGGAAAAAGAATTCTTTTACAAGTGGAAAAGTCTGGCAGGCACCACTTGCATCATGATATCCAAGTTAACATCACCCAGCATTAGTAACAGGGCACAGTCTGAAGTTGTGTGTCACCTGATGGGATGCAATGAGAATATATCATCACTTCTGTGATATTCCTGCTAAAGATACAAAATCTAAATTTAATCATGATGAAACATCAGGTAAACCAAAATTAAAGAACACTCTTCAAAATAACTGACCTATAATTTTCAAGTGTCAAAGTCATAAAAGTCAAGGAAAGACTCAGGAAATTTTCCATATTGAAGGAAACCAAAGAGACATGACACTGAAATGCAAAGTATGTTTCTGGACTGGATCCTTTTGCTATAAAGAACATTACTGGGATAACTTGAAAAACTTGAATGGGATCTGAGGATTAGATGGTAGCAATGTATATCAATGTTAATTTCCTGATTTTGACAGTTGTAGTGGAATGTTCCTGTTTAGGAAACACACACTAAAGTATTCAGTGGCAATGGGCACCAGGCTGGAAATTACTTTCAAACAACTCAGGAATAAATAAAAGTTCTTTGCATTGTACTTGCAATGTTTCCCTAAGTTTGAAATGGTTTTTTTAAAAAATTTTAAAACAGGAAGGAAGAAAGGCGTATGGCCAAATATTACCCTTCAGATCCAGCACTGCCAGCAGTGTTATTTGCTGAAAGGTTTTATTTAAGAGCAGTAACAAATCTCAAAAGACATCTAGAGAACAAAATATTAGCAATATTTTTTTTTTGTGTGAGGAAGATCAGCCCTGAGCTAAGATCTATGCTAATCTTCCTCTTTTTGCTGAGAAAGACTGGCTCTGAGCTAACATCTATTGGCAATCCTCCTCCTTTTTCTTTCCCCCCAAAGCCCCAGTAGATACTTGTATGTCATAGTTGCATATCCTTCTAGTTGCTGTATGTGGGACGTGGCCTCAGCATGGCCGGAGAAGCAGTGCGTCGGTGCGCGCCCAGGATCCGAACCCGGGCCGCCAGTAGCAGAGCGCGCGCACTTAACCGCTAAGCCAGGGGGCCGGCCCTTAGCAATCTTTTTTTTGTCTGATATTTTGATAGCCTACGCTAATATCAGTGTATTATATAACTGGTAATACTATTACCAGTTATACTATTACTAGTTATTGAACTTACATATAATATTAATACTTCATAGCTACTGAAGCTGGTTATTTTTGCCTTGTATGTTACTACTGAGTCTTTTTGCCCTAACAGTTTTTTAAAAGAAAATTTTCAAAGGTGTTCTACATTTAAAAGTAAATTAGTTTAGTATCCTCGGAAAGATTTCATTCATTAGTGAAAAAAGTCCTCAATCTGGGGTCCTAAGACCAGATTCAAACTCATCCATCACTGCCTGGTCATGTACCTCAGGGAAGGTCATAATTTTCTTTTTTTTTTTTTTTTTTTTTTTTTTTTTTTTTTTTTTTTTTCCCCCAAAGCCCCAGTAGATAGTTGTATGTCATAGCTGCACATCCTTCTAGTTGCTGTATGTGGGACGCGGCCTCAGCATGGCCAGACAAGTGGTGCGTCGATGCGCGCCCGGGATCCAAACCCGGGCCGCCAACAGCGGAGCGCACACACTTAACCGCTAAGCCATGGGGCCGGCCCAAGGTCATAATTTTCTTGTCTACAAAATAGGGATAATTTTTACAGGTACATTTCATAATATAAGTAGGTAAATAATATATAGCATCTGAAAGTGCTTTATCTAACATAAGCACTACATAAATCTGAGTAATTGCTCCCCAATGGATAAGGAACAGGAACGGCATGTGCGACCCCGTCACAAGACTGGAGCTGAAGGCACAAACAGGAAACAACAGGGCACCAGGGGCTGAGATGCTGACAGAGTCTCGATGACCAAAGGCTGCTCAGTGACACGCTCTAAAGGGCTGGAGAAGAATGAGTGCACCTTGACAGGAGTGGAAAGCAGAGAGAGTGACTTACTGAGTATTGTGCAGCACTGTCTGGACAAAGGCGGGATTTGTCTCCATGGAAGCCGTCACCAGAGACGTCAGCAGAGACCAATACCATATTGCAGAAGCATCTGAGACCGAGACCCCAGACTTCTTAACTCTCTGAAAGCCAACAGCCCTCAGACCATGAATCCTAGTGTCACATCCATCGCTAAGACAACGCTTTATGTTAATCTGGACATCTGTCAAGCGCAAACAACAAATTCAGTATTGGATTAACTTCTTCAGTTCAGCAAGTGCTAGGCTCCCAACTAAAAGCAAAATAGTAATTCACATTTCGAAAAGAAAATCTGAAGATATACTTTGATGCCAGAAATAAATAATGTGTGCAATGGAGCTAGTATATAATAAATTTGTCAAAAAAAGCATTGACCAATCTAAGAAGTCATAAGAATAATGAGTAAAATTAAGGGTGGCTTAAATCTTTACATTACAAAGCTTCTTAGGAATTTATGAGTCTTGAAAATTAACACAAAAAGTATTTTTTAAATCCTAATTAAATATATGGTAAGAAAATTCCTAGAATTTTTCCTAGAGTTCTGAAATTTGGACTTAGTTATAACACAGTAGCTGGCTCATAGCAGTTGTGAGAATTTCTTTTTAATAATTAAGTCCAAATAGATGACACTGGCATGACTCACTTCTAAAAGCTGTCACAATTTCTTATTCAGCTTGGAGAGGAGGAGGTGAGAAGTTAAAAAGGACACAACTTAAGTATAAGACAGGAAGCTTCTACTCCACAAGCTTAACTACTTCTTTGCCTAGGGGTGAGACATAAAGACTCTACCTCCCTAGGCCTCAGTTCCTCTGAGCAAAGTAAGAACACTTCTTTTGGCCCAGGAAAGCATTAGAAGAAATGAGACAAAACATGAAGCATTCCGGCTCCCTGAATGAAATAAGCCTGGAAAGAAATCACAGAATTGTGATTATTTCCAAAATGCTATGTGTGAAGCAAGGTTATAACAGTATCAAAATGGAAACAACCTAAATGTCCACGAATAAAGGGCTGGTTAAAATTAAGGCATATTCTTACAACACTAAATAAAGGTGAGCATGAATATACGATAGGACAACATGTTAAAAAAATTACAAAAGAGCACACATAGAATATCACCATTTTCGTAAAAAGATATGTATTGTATGTAAATTGTATGTATTGTATGTAAAAAAAAAGATATGTAAATATATATACACAACCCTATTTTTTATTTTAAAAAATGTGTGTGTATATATATATGTGTATGAGTAAACAAACACACACACACACATATAAATACGCAAACACAAGAAAAGGTCTGGAAGGATCCACATCAACATATTCACAGTGACAATCCCTGGGTAGTGGGATTTTGAGAAATTTTTGCTTATCTATATTTTTCTAATTTTCCAATAAGAAAACAAGCATAAAATATTTTTAACTAAAAAAGGCTTTACTGCTTTTCTATAACTTTTAAAAACACTGAACAGATGAAATAATGACCACTTTCATGTGTATGATGAGACGCAAATCAAATCTCCAGAGAAAAACTAACAGCTTCTCCACTGCAGAGGTCTTCCTGCTAATATATATTACTTCCTCCGTCCCCTCCCAATCCCCTTAGGTAGAAGGTCAAGAAGAATCTTGGTTGACTCACAGAGCTGACTGACGTTGGCATTTTCCAGCAGTGTCACATAGCCGGTGACATTGCTGGGAATGTGCACATCACGAATCTCCTGAAGATCGCCGGCAGTCCTCCCCACAGCTACTGTCACCTGCTGCGGCATGTAGCTCTGGTCTGTGGCAGCCACTGCAATGGACAGGTGCCTAAGCACAACATCTGGTTTCATTTTTAAACTGGAAAACATGGAGAGCAGAAACTACAAATGTTTATATAAGTCGAGAACTGGCAGGGTCCACAGCCCCATCTCCAAGATCTGATATTTAATACACCCAAAGACTGATTTTCTTAAAAGCAACTAACTTGAGATGCTCGCTGTTAGTTTCAAAGTCCTTATAACCTTGCCAAGTCTCTAAAATTCCTTTTGGTTCAAGATTAATCTTATATTTCCTTTTCAGCTATTAGTATAGGCAGTAAAGTACTATATGAACAATCTAACAAAATCCTTTTACCTGGCAAGAAGCAAATTCTAAACTGCATCCAAAGAACTGAGTACATTCTCTCATCTATAAATTAGATGGCTAAAGGTCATATATATCCTCTGTGAGAAAACAAGACAATTATTTCTTTTTCCACCAACTGAAATTAGCCCATTCTCTGAAGGGACAGGTGAAAATCTAGATAGGAGCTTCAGAACTTCTAGAAATATCACAACTTACTATCATCAATTCCACTCCATATTCTTGACCATCTCACTCCCTCCTCCTCTTCTAAACTGGCCAACTTAGTTGCATACAGATTTTTAAAACGTACAGAAAGGATCTTAAAAAGTAAAATCAAATCTGACATAAGAAAACTACTTGCCCCTTGTGATACTAATGTTCCTGAGAAACTAGTGAAAAGATCTGAAGTCAGTATCATAAATATTAGTCCAATGCTATTTTCTCCCTTAAAATACCAAGTAAAGAAATTACCCATGTTTATGAATATATGAATCAGGTTACATGATTTTACATGGTTCTTTTTACTTGATTCTTAAAGCACCTTCAGAGATAGTCTCTTACAACAAGAAAACAATTAGGCAGTTAAATAGAAAATATTCTGAAATTTTAAAAAATAACGTTTTTTTTTTAACACATTGATGTGATAAGAGAAAGAAAGCAGGTAATTTTCTTGGACTTTCACTCAAGACTTGGTATTACACCACCCACCGAATCCAGTGTGAGCGGGCACTGCCATCTGACTGCCAGTAGGAAGACGTTTCTCCATTTGTCATCTTGTCAATGTCTGCAGAGTTGGAGGACGTTTCTATATAAGCGTAGCACTTTGCTACTGACTTGAGTTTATCCATCTCTGGGCTTCTAATTAGATCTCCAGGGCTTTCTGCAAGGAAAATCAGGTTTTATCATACGACATCTCTTCCACAAAGGAGAAAAAAAAAGGAGTCATTTAAAGTATCTAACAGAAATATGCCTGGCACTTTGACCCTAGAAAAATAAATGTTTCTTAAAATCTCCCTCCAAAGAACTCATATAAAGCAGAAACTGGCCAAGGATTGCTCCATGAGCTCATTATAGTACAATAATTAAATCACTGATATATTTGCAAAACCATGCCAAGAGAAGAAAATGGTGTCTTATAGTTTGAATTTACATTTCTTTAATTATGAGTGAGACTTTTTAAGCACCTTGTTTGTAAGCCACTTGGGTTTCTGAGTGTGACCTGATCCAACCTTCATCTATTTTCTACTGGGTCACAAGTCTTCTTATCTCTTTATATATTTTATATACATTCTATAGTATATATACACACATTTTTTTAAATAATTTATTTATTTTTTCCCCCCAAAGCCCCAGTAGATAGTTGTACATCATAGTTTCACATCCTTCTAGTTGCTGTACGTGGGACGCGGCCTCAGCATGGCTGGAGAAGCGGTGTGTCGGTGCGTGCCCAGGGTCCGAACCCGGGCCACCAGTGGCGGAGCCCGCACACTTAACCACTAAGCCACGGGGCCGGCCCTATACACACATTTAATAGGTACTATTTACTGAGTGTTTACTGTGAGCCAGGCAATCTTCCATGTATTAATTCATTTTAGAGATAAGGAAACCTAAGGTGCAGAGAGTTACATAATTGTCCGAGGTCAGAGTCAGTTAAAAATGGAGTCTGTCATAATATCTTACAAAATGTATTTCCGTTCCCTAGAATGTCATTTGTCTTTTGACTCTGCTTATGATATTTCTTGCTATACACAACTTTAAATGTGCATACAGCCTAATTTATTAACCTTTTCTTTTGCAGTTTCTGAGTTTCATGTCCTGGTTAGAAAGGTTTTCCCACGTCAGGATTTTTACAAAGTGGAACTATTTTCTTCTAGTACTTGTACAGTTTTCTTTTAACTTCTTGATCCATCTGAAATTTATTTTAGTGAATGCAATGGGCTAAGAATCTAGTTTTTTCTCCAAATGGCTAACCAGCTGCCCTAATCTCACCTGTTGACTAATCCACCTTCCCATCTTGATTTGTAGGCTGACTACATCTGGTACTACATTCCCACATGAACTTGGGTCTATTTCTGGACTCTATGATGTTCACGGACCTGTTTATTCATTTTATCAAACACTCTTGCCATCACTAAGTGAGTCTGTAGTGGCTTTCCTCATTTATTCAACAACTACTCATGGAGGACCTACTGTGTGGCAGGCACAGTTCCAGGGGCTAAGGAGAATGGCTCGAACGAGACAGACAAAATGCAAGTAAATAATAATGCTATAACCTCAGATAATGATAAGTGCCATTTAGACCATTAAACCTGCAGAAGTGATAGAGACCAGAAGGTGGAGAAGGGTGGCATTAATTAGACAGAGTAACAAGGAAAGGTCTCCCTGAAACCACATCTGAGCAGAGACCTGAATGATGAGAAACCAGTTGTGTTAAGAAAGAGGGAAGGAAGGAAGGAAGGGAGGAAGGAAGAATGAGCAGATCACATTCTTATGCTACAAATTTTTCACTACTATATTTTCAGAAATAAAGGCAGGTAGAAGGGTTGGCTCATCCTATTAATAAACACTATGTTTGGAAGAAATGATGATAGAGCATTTTCAGGACCCAACCCCCCATCCCCCACACACATACCCTTTTCTTTCAGTACCAGTTGATCCAGAGCCTCCTTCAGAACAGAAGCCCTCATGGTGCACATGTTATTGCAGTGGTCCAACATGGGGTAGGGGATGACCGTGCTAGGGAGCCGATTGCGGTGCAGGAAGCGCAGAATCATTGATGAGTGAACACCCAGGCCTTCCTTGGACTCTGAAAATATGTCTATGAAACCTAAGCAGACAAAATCCATTTTTGGTGTTTTGGGGAACCCACCACAATAGTTACCACATCCCCTGCCTGGTGGCCTATCTAAATTGGCTGAATTAAAAGCAGCCATTAAGAATCTTCAATATTTTCAGCTTTAATCATTTAAAAATCTAAACAAGTTTTTAAGATATAAACCAGTGGTAATCTCAATTTAAAAATTAATTTCATTTTAGTTTAACAGAATTTTAGAAGACTTAGAATAATGATTATTTGTTTCAATCCAAGCTTTAACAATTTATAAGCACTTAAATACTAACTAGAAGTTTTTAAAGAAGTTTTGCATACAGAATATGGGCTAGGAATAAAGTTTATTGCATTAGAGAGTAAAAGCATAACTGCTTTTATACTAAGCTATGTAAGACAACGATAATAATACAACCACTACCCTGACCACAGTTTCCGATGACATGGACAGTTTATGAGATACTTCCACACACATCATCTCGGTCCTCACAACAAGGGGAGTTGGGGGGATGAGTGCAGGAAAGGCACCAAAGGTACTGGTATCCTTGCTTTTACAACTGAGGAAAATGAGGCTCAGGCAACACACCAAGAAAACAAAAAAGGGGTAGGACTGGAAACACCCCCTTGCACTGCCTCCAGGTGCTCCTTCCACCACCCCAGTTTTTTCTCTCAGTGTGACTCCTCTGGAGTCTGCCCCACCTGTATATCCCTCTGGCCACTGCCCAGGCCCTGGCCTCAATATCTCCCGTTCATACACCTATCCAGATTTCCTAGGTGGCTCCCCTGGCTGCCCTTGTCTGGCATTAACTCAAGTAATCTTACAAAAACACAAAACAGACAGTGTCTACCCCTGTTTAAAATCTTTTCATGGTTCCTCATAACCTACAATAATATGCCTTGAACTGAGGTGCCCATAACCCAGAGGAGTGTTAGGGTTAAGTGAAGAGAGGCTAAACATAGCAGCTTTTCCTGGGGCTCAGATATATACACTTGTAGATTTGGGGGGATTTTATTTTATTTTATTTACTTTCTAATGAGTCACAACAAACATAACAAAAAGCCATAACTGTATCGCTTGACGAACTTTCACAAACGGAACACATTCATGTAAGCAGCGCCTAGAGCAAGACCCTAGAAGTCCACAGGAGAATTGTTTTTAAGTGTAAACCAAACAGATTGTATTAGAGCAGAATGAAACTTTGCATTAATTTTTAAGAAAAAACATGAGGCTAAGGAGAAATTTTGCACTAAAGCAGCCCATTTTAACTATGCCCCCTAAACAAACCTAGAGACACAGGTTTGATTTCCCAAGACTCAAGTCTATGCATCCCTTGCCCTCCTTTTAGCTTCTCTTCTCTTAGCAGACTCCCACAGTAATACCCAAACCTCGCGTTACGACACTGCTGATGCTGCACTGATGTGCTCAGAACCCATGTGAAAAAAAAGACTGATTCTTGTAATGGGAAATTTTTTTCCATATGCTAAAACAAGCAATGAATTTAGTAAAGATGCCATCTCTCTTTTAAACACTAAGCACCAATACAACGAGATACAAAAGAAACAAGTTTCAGTCCACATTAGAAAAAGGAACTAGGAGGGGCGTGCCCCTGGCGTAGCAGTTAAGTGTGCACGCTCTGCTGCGGCAGCCTGGGGTCCGGATCCCGGGCGCCCACCTACACACCGCTTATCAGGCCATGCTGTGGCAGCGTCCCACATAAAGTAGAGGAAGATGGGCACAGATGTTAGGCCAGGGCCAATCTTCCTTAGCAAAAAAGAGGGAGATTGGTGACAGGTGTTAGCTCAGGGCTAATCTTCCTCACAAAGAAAAAGAAAAAGGGACTAGGAAACTGAAATCCCACCAGAGAGACAAACTCAGCTTACCAAGATTCACCCTAAGACTGTGATAAAACAATTCTTCTAAGTTGGCTGTTGATAGAAAATTTTGAGTAGAAAGTCCTAAGTCACAACCCTGCTATGCAAGTGCCTCGGGATCTGGACTCCAAATTTTTCTAACCTAATTTCTGCCTCTCTCCACAGTTACCCAGAGCAACAGTGTGTTAAGTATTATCTGCTCGTGGATTCCCTGGTCTCCTCCCCTTTCCTCTCCTCCCAAAACATCTGTTTGAGGTGTCCAAATAAAGCTCCTGATGCTATCCACATGTTGGCAATGCAAAAGTGGGAGTAATACGTAAATGTCAAGATATAAGTTAGCTAAACATAATTCAAAGCATAATTTTAACTGCCATGAGTAGGAAAACGGTTAACATGTACAGGTTACCTATAATGCTCTATAAAAATTACATAATTAAAGAGAATTTGAGGAAAAATGGAAATGTGCAGTTGTCATTAATATACAGAAACCATCCTTGCTTAGCTCAGTATATCCTCAGCAGTAAGCCAGAGAGGTCAAGGGCAATCAGATGTACACTTATGCGTCTATCAAATCTATCTTGCCTCTGTTGCTGCCCTAGCTAGGCTTTATGCTAGGTTTTACCACACCAAATGCACAGAGCAGGAAAAGTTCTCAGATAAGATCAACTGAGACTGAAAGGATGATACGTAAAGTTTTTTTTCCTTTCAAACTCAATTGTTTTCTCACTGGAAAAACAAAGAGGGTAATTTTATTTTGATTCTGTCTTCTGAGCCCCAAAAGAAACCATGTGAAAACACAGACAAAGTGTCTTCATAGGTACAATAAAGAAGTATTGCTTATTTTAAGCTAGTTTTACTCTTACTTAAATTTCAGAGTGATAGCTTTCTAAAAAAAAACACACTAGCTGCCTACCATGTGCCAAAAAATACGCTGTCAGGACACAGTAGAAATAAAAGAGAAGGGCCCTGCCCTTATGGAGCTCACAGTATGAGTGAAGATAGACATTTAGCCTTCAGCACTCAGATGAGAGCCTCACCTGGAACAAGAGAACAAGCCTGCAGTTGTCTGATGATGTGGCTCAGCTCCCCCTGGAGATTAGCTCCACTGGAATTCTTGAGGGCCTCCAACATGTTCTCAGCATCAACTGTACCATCACCCTCAGCATCAAACTGGGCAAAGGCCTACAAGATAAGAGATGCAAGAAAATCAGGTCTGTTCCAAATCTTGAATAATTTTTTCTTCTTCTTTCTTTTTTTTTTTTTTTTTTTTTACAATTCTCAAGACCAGTGGATTTGCTGGGGGAGGGGCAAGAGGAAAAACCTTTATATATCATTCAAAGAACAAACAAATTCAGTATGGTAACTCAGTATGCTTTGCAGAATACATGTATATAAGTATTGCTACATGTATACACAATTTTATCATCTCATCTCTCCTTCAAGAGAGTAATTCCCCTTCGTAATTCCCCTTCCCCTAAATAATTTCAGAACAAAGCAACCATAGCAAAATCTTTCAAGTGGTTACAAAGTGTCAAATAAAAAGCAAGAATGAGAAAGAACTGGCTTAGAGTAGCACCTCAGGTTTCACTGGACTTTTCCTTGTAAACACTCTTTGGACACAAGAGCTAACTTGATTTATCTGCTCTACAGACCTGTTTTCACTCACCTTTTACCATAACCTGACTTGCTCCCTGCCCATGTTGGCCATCTGCGGAACCGGGTACAGCATGGGATTTGGTTTAAATCCTGCTCTGTCACTAACTGGCTATGTGACTTTATACACATTTCTTTACCTTTATAAGCCTCAGCTTCTAGATCTGAAAGATGGAGCAAATATTACCAAACTCATAGGCTGCTGCCTGGATTAAGTAACATTTGAACAGAGCCCAATACGGTGAAAGCACATCAGCAGCGCAAAGTGTTCCCCTGTTCCTTTCTAATCTGCAATGTTACCTCCTCCCTTGTCCCTGACCCCATGCCCTCTCATCCCACAAGACTTTCCTCATTTAGCAACTGCCTCCTCTCCCCAGATCTCAACCCCTCCCTCATCAGTGGCGCTGATACACTCAACTCACAGACATCCCTCACCATGACATACTTTAGCAGTCTTCTACCCTTTCTTCTAAGTAATCCTCTCTCTTCCTTAAAACTCCTGCCCTTTCCTTATTTCCCTCCTTCATGAAATATGGAAATATCCCATTGAGGTTTCATGACTGACACAAGTACCCTTATTTCCATCACAGACCTCTGAACAATGTAGCATTTAACACGAACATATGCAAATTCCTGCGTTTGGGTCCAAAAACCATGGACATAAATGCAGGATGGGGGACAGAGTTCAGAAGCAACATGTGACAGAAAGACTGCAGCATTCTTTTTGCCTCTACTCAAGCTGACAAGATTATCCAAGAAGTTAATAGGATCAAAGGCTACACTAATCACAGGCCGGCCCTGTGGCTTAGCGGTTAAGTGCGTGCGCTCCGCTGCCGGCGGCCCGGGTTCGGATCCCGGGTGCGCGCTGAGGCACCACTCCTCCACCCATGCTGGGGCCGCGTCCCACATACAGCAACTAGAGGGATGTGCAGCTATGACAGACAACTATGTACTGGGGCTTTGGGGGAAAAATAAATAAATAAAATCTTTTAAAAAAAAAAAAAAGGCTACACTAATCAAAGTATAATGTTCAAAAGGAGAGAAGATATCATTCTTTTCTTTTCTGATTAGACTCAATCAGAGTTTAGTTTGGAAGCTACAAAAGGAAATGAAATAGAAGAGATCAGAGGAAAGAGACCATGACAGAGAGAAGACTAGCAACTGCCCTGTGAGGAACAGGTGAAGGACGGTGGAAGACGACTGGGAATAACAGAATCCTTCTCTTCGAATATCTGATGGGCTGTCATGGGAAGGAGCAGTTAGAATTAGGGTCATTAGATAGAAGTTAGAGGGAAAAGCTCATCATGAAGATGGATTTGTCCGCCATCGGTGGGGTATAAAGATGGATTAGATGGATTAGGAGGCTCTGGGAAGGCATGCCCACCCCATCCCTCAAGGCTTCAGAGTAACAGCTGGACAACCAGCCAGCAGGAGTGTTCAAAGAAGTCATACTGAACAAATGCATTTACCTCTGTTCTCTCCTGAAATCCCACTAAGACAATATTATAAAGGGATTTATTTTTTTTAAAGCACAAGGACAAAGAGAATAGGAAATGATGCAACAGCAACAAAATTCTGGAAGCTGGGAAGCAGATGGATGAGTAGTACCAAGTTGGTTGACCTAGAAAGTGGAATCCTAAACTGGCACTGGGCAAAGTTGAGAAGTAAGCTGCTTTGCACTGCAGGACTCCACAAGACTTAGGAGTCGGTGGCAATAGGCACTACTGAAAGTGGACGTAACTGGCGGAGAGGCTATTTTAAAAAGCAGTTAGAACTGATTGGATAAACACTTATCTTAAGGAATCACTGGAGTTTTTCTCTTTTTTTTAAGGGGAAAAGGGTGACAGTGGGATTGTGTGTTTTTTTTAAAGAGTTCTTATCTGTTAGAGATACATAAGGAAATATTTAGGGATGAAATGAAATATTTGTGGATGAAAAATATTTGCTTCAAAATAATTTGGAGGAGGGGCTGGCCTGGTGGTATAGTGGTTAAGCTCGCATGCTCCGCTTTGGCGGCCTGGACTTCACCGGTTTGAATCCTGGGTGTGGACCTATGCACTGCTCATCAAGCCATGCTGTGGCAGCGTCCCACATACAAAAGAAAGGAAGACTGGCACAGATGTTAGCTTAGGGACAATCTTCCTCAAGCAAAAAAAAAAAGAGGAGGATTAGCAACAGATGTTAGCTCAGGGCCAAAAAAATAAAAAAAAAGACTGAAGAAGAATCCAACTAGAAAATAAAACATATGTTTAAAAAAATAATAATAATAATTTGGAGAAGAAAGTAGCTGAAATAAAACTGACCTTGCGTTAGTAATTGTTGAAACTGGCTAATAGGTATGTGGGACTTTTTTGTTGTTTTTTTTGTGAAGAAGATCAGCCCTGAGCTAACATCC